GGACAAGAATTCAAATCTCTCAATTTCCAATTATATTCGCTTTCCACTATGCTACATTACCTCCAAAACAGTGACATAATAAAAACAGTTTTAGGAAAATTATTTTAACAGTGCTTAAAAGTCAGATTAGGATAGCAGAGACTAGAGGCAGGAAGACTAGTGGCAATAGCAGTAATTAAGGCAGTAATTAATAGCAGCAATAGGCAGTTAGACAATTCTTAAGAATGGGTTACAACGGCCAACAGATAAAGCATTCTAACATCCAAGGACCCATATAGTGGTACCTTGAGCTATCAACTGGCAAACAGAAACAGAACCTCCCTACTCACAAAGCTGTAAGACATAAAAATAAAATTTACCTTATTACATTGTCTGACGTTAACAGCACTATGTGGGGATCCAGCATTTCACTTGGATACCAGGCAGCATGCTTTAGAGTCAGAGAGGTAGAGCTGGTGAACAATCTCTCAGCAACTGGAGTGGTACTAAAATAAAAACAATTTTCCAAAACATTTTGTAGGACTTGGATGGAAAACCCTCTAAAGGAAGACTATTTTAACACTCTTTGCTCTTCTTTACTTCAAATTTTTCTCGAGTCTTGCTGGGGGAGCATTCAAAGCATCTAGTCAATCAGTATCAAAGAATCAAAATAATAAAAATATTTTCTCAATTGTAGAGTATTTTATACTGTACTTTACAAGCGATTTTAGGTAAAGTATCTTATTTGATCCTTTTAGTAACCTTGTAAGGAAAATACAAGAGCAGATATTATTATTCCTAGTGTGGAAATGAGGAGTTATTTAGAAAGGAAACACTTAAGGGGACCCAACCTATAAGCTGTGGAGCTAAAGGTGGGTTTCTACCTTATATTCTTTTCAGTAGATCTTTTATACTCTCACTTTTCTGGATTTGTTGAAAAGAAAATAATACAAAAATAACACTTAGTTGAATTTATGGGCAAACTGTCTGGCTCATAAATAATAACTACTTTTTAAAAATCTTATTTCTACCTATTTTAAAAATTCCCTGACTGCTAATGAGAGAGTAATGTGATACTTCAGGTAGAATAAAAAATAAAATCACATATATACTATAAGCATTATTATCTTAAGATGACAATGTGCAGAACATCTGGAGTATTCATAGTAAACATACCTTAAGAACTACTGGTCTTGAATAATTTTCTGCATGTATTACAAATTATAAAGATAAACACTAAATGGAAATACAACTTACCTACAATTCACTGTTGATTTTCCACCTTCAAATTCAGAATTCTTCCCCCATCTTTTAGGTAATTCTAATACCATAAGTCCTTTTATTCCTATAAGTGCTATGTGATGTTGTGTTGGACTTAACAAGACTTGATAGATTTCAAACAGGGGTGGATTTATGCAAAGCAATCTCTGAAATTAAAGCAAACTGGTCAAAATAGTTAATTTTAATGTAAATGTATGTGGCAGTTACTCGAAAGGCTTTCCTTTCTGTACTGCTTTAGTTTTTCATAACTGTAGGATTTGAAGCATTTCCGGATAATTATTAACCCTTGGATCATTAATGAAAGAAATAGTTTTAACCAGTGTGATTGGAGCATTATAAATGCATCAAATGTCCCTACCTTGATAAATAAATATTGCACATTTCTTTTTATGATCAAGCTCCAGCCTCCCACTTCAACGTCTCAACTCTCCACCACTCCCCATTTGTACTTTATATTCCAATCAAATTAACCTGTACTTCAGCTTAATTCTCATGCTTTATTATGCCTCTGAGTCTTTGCATAACTGTTGCTCTTCCTGAAATACCTTCATTTTCCTTTTTTCAGCTGGCTAACATATTCTTGGAGGAAAGACTCGATACACTTTCCTCCCAAAAAAATATCCCTGATCTTCCAGCCAGGGATAAATGCATCTTTTTTGGACTCCTATAGCATATTCTATTATAGTTCTTCTCATCCTGCAGTCTATTTATTCTTTTACTTGTTCATACAACTATGAATTACTCAGAATTAAATTACTCAGGAATCTGTGTCTCTCTTCTCTGTATCTTTGGCAGAGTATACAGCATATTGCTGATTCTCAATAGATGTTTTAGTGAATAGACAAATGAAGAACACAGAAGTACTGATAAATGATAATTACTATGTTATATTAGAAACAATACAAGAAGATAAAGAATGGGTTCAAGAGCTTCTGCAGCAAGTAAATGGTGCTTTTCCTATGCAGATACGGAACAGTGTTTGTCTCAGCATCATATGCCTTCAAAAAAAAATTCACTCCTTCCTATTTCTTCTCTTGTGACCATGTGGAGTTTCCATTTTCTTTTCTTTCTACTTTTACTAATAAACCACGAAATCGTCAAGCTATTGCTTATCCTTATGCATAAAGAATCCCCCGAAGCCAAAATCCTTTAAAACAAGATGTTCTGAATATAATGAGGTTTCTATCAATTGTTACTGATGTCTATAAACCTGTATTTTGGTGGTGTTTTTTTTTTTTTTGGTTGCCCTTTGCTAATTCTAATCAAACTCCCCCCATCAGTGGTTCTTTCTGTCCTTTCCCTATCTTCTCAACCCCCCATTTCTTTCTACTTGATTTTTTTTTTTTATCCTCACCCGAGGACATTTTTCTATTTTTTGTTCAGACAGAGTGGCAGGGAGAGAGAGGAAGAGAGAGAGAGAGAGAGAGAGAGAGAGAGAAAGTAACATTGACATAAAAGGGACATATCGAGTGGCTGCCACCCGCACGACCAACCAGGGCCGGGGACAAACTGCAACCGAGGTACATGCCCTTAGAGGGAACCGAACCCGGGTCTCTCTGGACCACAGGCTGACGCTCTAACCACTGAACCAAACTGGCCAGGGCTCTACTTGATTTTGACAGGCTACCTCAAATCAAAGAGAGGCCACCTTTCTTCTGCTATACATGCAGTCCAATCACCTTAAATCACTTGTGATAATCTCTGTATTTAGGGGTTTTTTTGTTTGTTTGTTTCTAAGTCACTACCTGTGCTCTTGTTAGCGTTTAAACTTGGCAACTCGTGCTAAGCTGTTTTCTTTGCCTATTCTGGAGGATTTAGAATCATTCAGACAGTAACCAATATTTACTGAGAGTATATATGTTCTAGGCACTCAGTGAAATACTGGAGATACAAAAAAAAAAAAAAGTAAGGCAGACAGAGCCCCTGGCTTGGTGTTTACTGTCTAGAAAAGCAGAAAGTAAACATATGTGAATAATTCAATCATGACTGTGCTGAGTGCTGCACAGCAATGCAGGGTGCCAGTGAAATACTGTGCTGAGCATCTTGCAAATTACTCTTGTAAACAGAAATAGTCAAGGAAGCAAATCTTAGACTTGTGACCTATTTTCAAAACTGCAAAAATATATCTAGCATTTCCTTCATTTCAAATAATTTCTCATCAACGAGAATCGGACAATGGCTCACAACAGATACCACGCGTTACAATGCGTGCCAAGTGTTCCCGTTTTCAGTCTTTACAAGGGGAGAATCCGTCCATTACAAATAAACATTTCCAGAAAGCCGCGTTTGATGACAGCCAGGATGCAGTGCTTTCTGATCACACCCATTTCCACCTGCTCTTGGCTTATCTAAAGCAAACAAAGACCCCTCCCCACCTGGGGGGTGGCCTCCTTTTCTCAGAAGTAAAGGCATTAACGGGGGACCCCTCCTCTATGCCAAGCACAAAACGTGGTGCTTTCCAACCGATGACCTGACCTGACGCTCCTAACAACCCCAAGAGAAAGGCAGGGTTGTCATGATTATTTTGAGTGTCACCTCCTGAAGGTTTCTCGGGACCAACCCACTAAAAATAGCAACTGCACGCACACTCTGCACCCCCTTTCCCTGCTGTGCTTTCTTCGGAGCACGTGCATAACTGATATCTTATTTCCTGAGCATCCCGAGGTCCCTCCCGTCCTCCAGCAGCCAAGAACTTAAGCGCCCCGAGAGCACGAGCCGTAGCTGCGTCTGGCACAGCGTCGGGGGGGAAAGAGGCTACGCCGGCCCCGCGGCCACGCCGCGGCGGGATGGGGCTAAGGAGACCCTTCCTCTCCACGTGGGGCGTCTGCGTCCTCTCGCACAGCACAGCGACCAGAAGACGAAAACTCGCCAAGGTGGGGAGAGCACCAGGAAAACCGAGCTCGGCTCCCAGCCGGGGGCCGTTTCCGAGCCGCGCCGGGCCGTACCTGGTACTGGGAGAGGGCGGACTCCTCACCCGCGCCGCTGAGGCCCCGAAGGCGAACCACGAAGAAAGAGCTGCCTTCCCCGTCCCACAGGAAGAGTTCCCCGCCGAGGCCCAAGACCAGGTTTCTCGTCAGCAAATGCGGCGGCGATGAAGGCAGTGATAAAGAAGCCGATTTCTCGGCCTCAGCCGGACTCTGGTTTTTCAGTCCCTCCCGGAGCTGCAAGAACACGACATGGTTAGGAAGCCAGGTTTGCCACAGCTCGCCTTCGCCCGAAGCTCCCTCGGCGGCCGCCATCTTGGCCCAACTGCTCTCCTCATTCCAATTGGTCAGCCGGCTGCCGGGCACAGCCAATCCGCGGCCGCCCGCCCGCCGCTTTGGCTAATCACCGAGCGGGCAGCCAGGAAGCACGAGGTAGAGCTAGGAAGGAGGTGCCTCAGTCTATCAGGAAGGGGAAGTGTTAGTGGAAAACCAATCGCCAGTCAAGCATTTATTCTGAAGCCAAAGGGGGCGGAACGAGAAAGTCAACAGGCTAGTACTTGCTTCACGTTTTGGCGCCGCGGGAAATCTAGACCCCGGGGGAGAACCTGACCCCACCTGGGCAAACCTAGACCTCCAAAACCTCCCCTCATGACGACATACCTCTCAAGCCAGGGTGGGTTAGCCTCACAAATGTCACAAGTCTGTCTCCGTGTTGGGCCGGCCAGTAAAACAACACTTTATGGAATTCCCTGCAGCAACCAGAAACTACAACTCCCAGCGTTCTGCGCGGCCACAAGGGCGGGGCTTTCAGGAGGCTCTTCCCTCGGGGAGGAGATGGCAGAGCCGTCAGGGTCTCCGCGGCGCTCCCTGTACAAAGTGATGGGCTCGCCTCCATGGAAAGAGGCGTTCAGGCAGGTGAGTGTGGGATTCTGAAGCTTTGGCCGCGACGCTGTCATTCCCCTAATCCAGGAACCGCTCGCCTCAGCCCCGCCGTGTGAGGCAGGTCCGGGAGCGCCTGGCCGGTGGAGGTGGACCTGGGACCCAGACTTCCCACCTGCAGATAGATCTGGGTCTTGGCCATCGTCCGACAGCCTCTAGGAGTTTCTGGACTCCTGGGTGTGTGATTCGCTCCCCCGGCCCAGCCCCAGGCCCCTTGTTTTTGGGCTTGGGTTTTGGGTTTGGGTTTGTTTTAAATTTGAAGTGTAAGCCTTGGCTGGTTTGGCTCAGCAGTTAGACAGAGGATCGGTCCCCAGACCGAAAAGTCGCAGGTTCAATTCTGGTCAAGGGCACGTACCTCGGTTGCAGGTTGGGTCCCTGGCCCTGGTTCCGGTCTTGCTGGAGGCAACCAGTCATGTGTTTCTCCAACGTCAGGTGTTTGTCTCTCTTTCCCTCCTCCCCTCCCATTCTATCTGAAAAATCAATGGGAAAATATCCCTGGGTGAGGACACAATAAATAAATAAATAAAATAAATCTGAAGTGTAATTACGGCCACCCTTCTGCACTCTACAATAACAACACCTGCTGTTGGGTAGGTGAGAACCGAGAAAGGCACTTTGTGCACTGTATATGTACATTGTGCAACAGAGAAATTATTTCTATTCAAGAGAAAGTCTCTGTTCAGAAGAGCCTCAGTAACTGTCTTAGCAGAGTTGTATTGTCACGCGACAGCAAGACAACCAGAGATGCATGGCGGAATTGTGAATGAAAGGAGCACTTCATTCACTGGTGGGCTGTGGGGAGGCAACCCCCTTATCTTTATGGTTCCTCTGGGTGTCAGTCCCAGGGTTTGGTTTTGTTTTCCTCACCCGAGGACATTTTTTGCATTTATCTTCAGATAAAACGGGTGGTTGAGAGGGAAGAAGAGAGAGAGATATACAGCAATGTGAGAGAAACACATCGAGTGATTGCCACCCACACCACCCCAACCAGGGCCGGGGACAAACCTCAACTGAGGTACATGCCCTTAGTGGGAACCGAACCCAGGACTCTTTGGTACATGGGCTGATGCTCTAACTGCAGAGCCAAACCAGCCAGAGCAGTCCCAGGGTTTTTTTAGAAAACCGGTAGGGTGTGTACCTCCGGGAATAACTGATCAGAATGGAGTTTATTTTTAACTCAAGTAGCTCAGCTCAGTACCTCACCTCAGTTCTGACCTAGTCTGAACTCAGCATAGTTCCTGTAAGTAATATTGCCTATGACTACAGGAATCCCATAAGTAGTAGTGGATATATCCCAGGAATATAATCTGATGCTAGAAATGACTGTTGGCATCGGGGTTTCTTAGCTTGGCTGTTGACTTTTGAGGAATATAATTCTTTGTTGTGGAGGCTGTTCTGTGCATTATAGAATGTTTAGCAAAAACCCTGGCCCATTGGATGCCAGTAGCCCTTCAACTAGAGTTATAGCAACCAAAAATGTCTCCAGGCATTGCCAGATGTCCGTTGGGGGGCAAGAATTGCCCCAAGTTGAGAAACACTGTTGTACAGGAAAGTGACTACCACAGCCATGTCTAGAACAGCAAGAATTTGGAAGCAACCTAAATGTCCTGTAATAGGACAGTGGGTGTTGAGCTATTATCATCCATTCATTTGAAAGTTGGCATTGCAGATAGAACATGAAACATGGTGATCTGGAAATATATGAACAAAGCATTGTAATTTCGTCTGTCTACATGTAGATAAGGACTGGAGGGGAATATGCAAAATTAACAGTAGTTTGGATTAGTTGATAATTTGTGTCTATAAATTTTCTTTAACGTTTCAACAACTAAGCTAAGAGTTGATGTTTTTTTGTTTTTTTTTAATGGAATTGTCTTCCCCTTCCTCCTCCCCCCTCCCATCTTTCTCCTCCTCCAAGGGATGCCTGGAGAGAATGAGAAACAGCCGGGATAGGCTCCTGAACAAATACCGCCAGGCCGGAGGCAATATACCAGAGAGAGCTCAGAGCACCCTTCTAGTACAAGAGTTGATGAAAGAAGAGTGGAATGCTTTGCAGTCAATGGAAAGCTGTCCAGAGGCCTTGGCTCAGGTCAGGCTGGGATATGTGTTTTCAGGGAGGGCACTGCAGCACAAGAACACCAGTGTCCTCTCTCTACCCATTTTCCCAAGTCCCCTAAACCCATATACCCTCAAGCCCACAGTTAGGATTCTTTACTGGGTTAAACAGCCTTTAACCCAGGTTCTTCCACCTTTAACATTAGACGGTTGTAGATTAATGGTTCCTAAGTACCAGACTGTTGACCTGCTGCATCATTACATTATATTCATTTATGAGACTAAAACTAAAGTAATTTCACACCTTGGCTACACCCCTGGAAGTTTTGATCCAGCAGGCATGGGCTAGGAGCTTTCTGATTCTAATCTCAGACTTGGGAGCTGAGTGCGGATAGGAAACCTCTTACTATGTGTCAGGAAGAGCACTGGATTGGAAGTCAGGAGCTTTGGAATTCTGATCATGGTTTTGCTATTGCTTTTTAACTCCACTCTGCCTCTTTGATCTTAAGTTTTTATATTTATGAAATGGAGACAATAATGTCAGAATTGTGAGTAGTATATAAAAAACGTGTGAAACTGCTTTGAAAACATCAAGGCTCTCTATAACAATGATACATTATTCAGTACCTTCTACGTGTCCTTTAGTATTCATAGGACAATGTTTGTGTTATGTAATTGCCAGCGGTGGTCAAGGTGGTCTCTGGCCGGAGAGAGCCTCTGGCCAGAGACTGTACTCTGTGCCCTTCATTCTTGTCTTGCTTATAGGAATGGATTCAAACAATAGGCAACAAATAGCAGCAAAAGCCAGCGAAGATTTATTTGTAGGGAAGAAATACACTCAGACAGAACCTGAGTAGGCAGCTTAGCTGGCTGAGGCCAAACTGAGTGACCCAGTATTTGGAAGTTAAAGATTTCTACCCCTAGGCTGGAACGCCCCTAGGCAAGTTGCAAGTCACCTCCTCCCTCATGTCTCAAAAAAATGTATCTTCAAACTATAAGGCTCCTTCTTCACCCAGGTGTTATGCCACCAGTTAGACCACATCCTGGAGGGGCTCTAAATTTTCTCTCCATTGTCTATTTTGGGTTTTTCACGTCTCACACATATCCCCTAGAAGCCCCAACTGCCTTGCCCAGCTCATCTCTCTCTAGCTGCCTACTCTAACATAGTCACAATTAGTATTCACAATAATCTTCTCAGCTAGGTTTTGCTCCCACTTTACAGAGCCCAAACAGAAGTTTACAGAGGTTAGGAACTTTCTAGTGGCCACATCGCTTTGGCAGACCACATACTTAGCTGCTGCTCTTTATGGTCTTTCACCAGTTAAGTGCCATTTGTCACTGGGTAATTACCACATTACCCACGGTCAGCATAGTCTACAGAATGACTTACTGGCTGATTTCCTCAGGTAAACCTAGGTTCTTCAAGCCAGCCTCCAAGTATGTGGGGCTTGTCCGCTGATTATGACTTCAGATCTCTGATGACCCCACTTTCTCTTGCAGTGGGAGGAGCCGATGGACTTAGCTGAGCTGGAGGACATCCAACAGGAGCTGATTGAGCAAGGTGACCTCTGAGAGTGGACTTTTCTGCCTGTGTCTAGCTACTCTAATACTGACCTTTATTCTAAACGATTTAGTTTTTAACTTTCCGTCTTCTACTTCCACCTGCAGTCAAGCGTCCAAAAGTCTCTGCGTTTACTCTGAAGTCTTGACTGCCTGTCTTCCTAGCAATAAGAGTCTTAAGTATGCTAGGCCTGGTGCTCAGACTTCTTATTCCATGCTTATTTTCTCCTTATGATCACTCTGTAAGGTAGTAGGAGACAGAGGAGAGTGGTACCTTACCCAGGCTGCATAGCTAGTAGTAGAGTGGAGAAGCAAAATCAGTTTTGTGAATCCAGGTCCCATGTTTATTCTACTATCTTCCAGTACCTCTCTATTAGTAGGTTAAGAGAAATCCTGTCACCTTGTAGGATACAGTGCATGTCAGATTTCATGCACTACTTAAGTGCCTTCTCTCTCATCCATTCATTACTAACTCCCCACCGTCCTGTGAGCATCCACTCCGAGGCATTCGTGGCATCGTAGAGTGCATAATTTAGCACCTAATGTAATTCATTTGTTCCTCATAGCCCTATCTTGACTAGCCTTAGTATTTATGATCTGTATAAAATAGAGATGATAGACCTACCCTTGGAATTTATTTGTAGTCTTGAATAAGAGGTGTAGAAGACTTAGAAAAGTGCCTGGCATGTAGAAAGCTTTCAACAATTGATAGTTATTATTATGAGGATGCCAGACCATAGACTCTTAAGCTAGACTCCTGAGGTCCACTTTGTAGTTTTACCATTTTAACTTTTACCATTTTACCATAATACTATTGAGTGGCACTGGGCCTCAGTTTCTTCATCTTCAAAATGAGGATAACAATAGTGAATAAGTTAATATGTGTAAAGGACTTAAAATAGGATTTGACAAATTGTAAGTGCTATGGAAGTGTTGGTTATGATTAGTTTTGTTGACTCCAGTTAGACTGCAGAATTTTACATTTTAGTTATTATTTTTTTTATTGATTCACCCTTCACCCTCACCTACAAAAACCTATCTCAGTGGTGAGATATAGGACTCACTAAATATTTCTTTAGGGGTATGTTTAACTAAAAAATCTAAGTGATAAGGATTCACTGTGTTCTGCAATACTCAGTCATAAGGAACACTCTAGAAAAGAGATTGACAAACTTCCTGTGAAGGTCAGGATAGTAAATATTTTAGGCTTTATGGTCCATGCTTTCTTTTTTGCAGCTACTCGGTTCTGCTGTTGTAGTATAGAAACAGTCAGATAATACATAAACAAATGAGCATGGATATGTTCCCATATAACTTTATTTAAAAAAACCAAACGTGGGCTGGATATGGCCCGTGGGCTGTGGTTTACTGACCCCTGAGCTAAACTCTAGACTGTGAGCTCATGAAGAGCAGGGACCAGTATTTTTCATGCCTGCCACATACTGGGTCTTGTTGCATGTTTACTGAGTGAATGAACACACAGATTCTGAGCATGTGGACACTGGGGAACAGATCACTTTAGATTCAGTAGGGTGGGCTGGCATCAGAAACAAGTGTCCTGTGTCAGTTTTCTCCACCTGCCCCGGAGACCCTGACACTCCGCATCTCTGCTCTTATGGCCTCCAGAGATGTGTGTGAAAGTTTCACCTTGTCCCTTCAGCCTCACCACTTCACCTCTTGTATTCACAAGCTGAGGTCAGACAGGAGGGGAGAATCCAACAAGAGGAAGCCTGACAGAAGAGTAAATATCTAGTGATTGGTAGAATGATTTTGCCTGAACTTTTCTCGTGTGGATGAAGCCTTTGATGGTGAAGCTTAGCACTACAGACAGGACAGTCGGGTGCAGCGTGGTGAAGCATTCCAACTGTCCATTGCCTTGCAGAACAGTCCATCATCAGTGAATATGAGAAGAGCTTGCAGTTTGATGAAAAGTGTCTCAGCGTCATGCTGGCTGAGTGGGAAGCCAACTCCCTCATCTGTCCTGTGTGTACAAAGTAAGAGTTTTCCAAACCTTCGCAGCATTATTGGTTCCCACCCTCCACTCCAAAATGAGTGGAATTTCCCCTCCACATTTGTTGTCTGGAAGGTTTTGGGGATCCTGGTTTGCTGGCCATGAAGCTCTGGGATCCCAATTCTGCCTTTAGGTACAACCTGAGAATAACAAGCGGTGTGGTCATGTGTCAGTGTGGCCTGTACATCTCATCTCATGTAAGTGTTCACACAGATTTTGTGTCCTCCCTTTCCATATATGTCTGTTTACTTTAAGGACCTTCAGTGGTGTGCTGAAGCCGGCTGTACATCTTTTCCCAGCTCCTGTTCAGTTCACATTGGTAGTTTGAAATCAGTCATGGTGAGAATATATACAGCATGGAAATTGGCAAGCACTACAAATCTGGGTGTTCCCTGCCCCCTCCCTGGAGTCATTTGTTAAACACTTACCCATAAAAATTGTCCACGTGTGAAGACACACCTACACCCAGAATTTAAGCTTCAGTGATCTTAAAATACAGAAGGAGCCCTCTTATCTCACATGACAGGGACTGCAAGTGTCAGCTGGTTAAAGTGGTGAATTGGAAAAATGAAACATTTATAGTAAGTTTCCAGCATATGCATTTATTTGCCAGTCCTTGAGTGGGGCTCTGCTGATCAGAGTGCTGTCTTTTTCGCATAAACTACCCTTACCACTAGTGCATTGTCTAGAGCTTCCAGTTCATTTCTGAAAAGTGCATTGAGAAGCTGAGTGTACAACTTCAGGATTTTTCCTCCCTATCTTTGACTTAAACTTTGAAATAAAGCTTTTTATTTATTTATTTTTAAGCAACTCATTTTTTTGAGTGTTTCCCACTTATCACCAAAAAAAAGAAAACTGTTTCATTCTTGTATTTCATTGGTTTAGATAAAATGTAATTAAGTTACTCGGATACAGTAACAAGCTCAACTAGCACAAATATCTGGGCCAAGCAGTGCTGACTCGGTAGGGGACGCATTTGGCTGGTGGAGGCAGGAGCATGGGGAGGCTCTGCGTGTCCGGGTTCTGCGAGTGGCAACATGTTTTTAGTACAATCATGAGCCCAAGAGGGTTTTAAAGGTCCAAGGAATCAAGTCATCAAGATAGATTGGTTATCATGAAGAATCAGGATTTTCAACCTGTTAACTATGAGATAACTAAGAGTAGGTTGCAAGGACATACAAATGGCCAAGAGACATATGAAAAAATACTCCACATCACTAATCATCAGAGAGATGCAAATTAAAACAATAAGGTATCACTTTACACCTGTCAGAATGGCCACCCTCAACAAATCATCAACAAGCGTTGGCAAGGGTGTGGAGAAACGGGGACTCTGGTACACTGCTGGTGGGAATGCAGACTGGTGCAGCCACTATGGGAAACACTATGGTGTTACCTCAAAAAGTTAAAAATTGAACTGCCATTTGACCCAGTGATCCCACTTCTAGGATTATACCCTGAGAAGCCTGAAACACCAATCAGAGAATATATGTACCCCTATGTTCATAGCAGCACTATTTATAATAGCTAAGATCTGGAAACAGCCCAAGTGTCCATCAGTAGATGAGTGGATAAAAAAGTTGTGGTGCATATACACAATGGAGTACTATGCAGCTGTAAGAAAGAAAGATCTTGTATCCTTTGAGACGACATGGAGGGACCTGGAAAGTATTATTCTAAGCGAAACTAGCTGAGCAGAGAAAGACAAATATTGCATGATCTCACTTATTTCTGGAATATAATGAACTAAACAAACTGATGAACAAAATAGACCCAGAGTTACAGAAGTAGGGTACAGACTGACAATCCCCAGAAGAGGGGGTGGGGGTGGGGGAGAGATAAAGCACAGAACTTATATGCATGTATGCATAACCAATGGACATAGACAACAAAGCTGGGGACGGGGTGGGGCAGGGATGGGGAGGAGGGTGTCAGTGGGGAAAAAAGAAACATCTGTAACAAAATTTAAAAAAGTAGGTTGCAGTCTAACTTTTTTTTCTCAGTCTCCAGAACTGACAGAGCAGAAACTCCGGGCCTGTTTAGAGGTCTGCATGAATGAGCACAACGCACACTGTCCTCACACACCTGAATTTTCAATCACTGAAGGGACAGAAGAAAAGTCCAGTCTTCTCCTGAGCTGTGTGGTAAGCCTCCCGTGGGACCCGGTGGTAGGAGCAAGTCAGCATTTGGTTTTATCCCTGCTCTGGCAGAAATAATAGCTTGAAAACAGGTAAATGTTTAAAAAGCAGTCTATTCTCTGAGGAGTTTACTTGAATAGAAAAGTGAAAGTAACAAATAAGTTAAACAAAAAGGCCACCTGTCCCCTAAAAGGGGAAGACACGGAGGCAGCTCAGGACGGTGGAAGATGCCCTGGTCTTGAAGTAGGAAGCCTGGCTGCACGGCCTACTCTGGTTGATTAGCAGCAGTGGTCTTGGATGAAGCTGATTATTTCATATTCGTAAGACCCAAACAGGCCCTCCTGGGACAGGTTTTGCAGTAGGACATGGAACAGGAAGCACAGCAGGGCATCAGCAGGCTTGTCTCGTCAGCAAGCATCTTCACAGAGGACCAAGGGCTGCTGTCTGGCCCCCTAAGTGACAACTCGGGGGTGAGAGAACAGGACCACACGAGTGGATACAGAGCCACCCTGGTTTTTTTTTTTTTTTTTATCCTCACCCAAGGACATTTTTCCATTTTTTGTTCAGGTAGAGTGGGAGCGAGAGAGAGGAATAGAGAGAGAGAGAGAAACATCGATGTGAAAGGAACACATCGAGTGGCTGCCACCCGCACGACCGACCAGGGCCGGGGACAAACTGCAACCGAGGTACATGCCCTTAGCGGGAACCGAACCCGGGTCTCTCAGGACCGCAGGCCGATGCTCTAACCGCTGAGCCAAACCAGCCAGGGCAGAGCCACCCTGGTTTAAAAGCCCTGCGCTTGCTGTAGGAACCAGTATCTCCCACAGTGATCTATAGCTAGAGCTTCTAGGTCCCAAGCAAGCGGAACTCTGGAATTGTGAGCACTCTGCACCTAGGGCTTCCTCCTGGGCATTTAGTCCTCTCATGGCCTTTTCATTTCACATGAGGTTTACCTATAGTAGTTTTTTTTATTATTATTATTCAACCTTTATTTTTTAAGGAGTAGTTTTGTTATAAGTAGTGTTGCCTACTACAGCCAACATTTCATGTTACTAAGTTTCTTCTGTAAGTTATTTAATTCTATTCTTTTTTTCTTTTTAATTGTTGAGGGATTTTTAAAATTCAAAAATATGTATTGTCTCCCAAAGTTCAAGTCTAGGGTTGGTGATTATGAGAAGAATACAGAAAACAGGTAGTCAGTACTCCTGGGGGACGGTTGGGAGAGGGTCTACAGGAGTTCGGAGGCGATCTCATTTATGGATGAAGGCTTCCTGGAGGAGGCATTAACCTTGGCCTTCAAGTGTGGACATGTAGATATGGCGAGTTGGGGAAGGAGCATAAGTGGAAGATCCCCAGGTAGAAGAACAAGGCAGAGTGGCAGAAAATTTGGAGCATATATGAAAAGCATCCTGTTCTGCTTGGCTGGAACGCTGAGCTCATGAGGGAGTGAAGAGCCATGATCTGACGAATAAGTCAATACAGTAGCTGCAAATGTGAGATGTCTTGTATCAGAGGCTGTCCAGTCCTCTGTGGGAAAAGTGAAGAGGGCTTGAACTTAGGCAGTAACAATGGGGATGGTACAGGTAGGATGAATATGAGAGGCTTCGGAAGTGAATTGATGGAATTCGATAGCTGTGGGTGTCAGGGTGGAGGAATCAAAGAAAATGCGGGTTTCAAGGCTGGGTAACTGGGCAGTGACGGAGCCACATGTGGAAGACAAGGCTTGTGTGGAAAACTTTGGAGTTGGACTGTGGACATGTTGAATTTGAGATTTCTGAGGCACCCAAGTTTTGGTGCAGTTAAGAATGTAGGGATGGAGCAGAGAGCGAGGGATGGTGTTAGCAGTTGTTTGCTAAAAAATAGATGCGATGACGCTGACTAGAAGGACTTATCGACCAATGACATATTCTTGGGCTTTGTCTACATTTGGAGTGCAGGGGAACACGTGGAGATGGAAGAACAGAGCCAGGGAACAGAAGTGTGGAAGGCATGAACATTTCCGAAAGGATGGAGGGAGTGGGTAGCAACACTCACCATAGAGACTGGGGTAGACACTGGTGACCTTATATAGATGACTTCGGTGGAGTTATAGGGTCAAGTAGCCACTATCTTATTTCGATTTTAGGAATTTGAGTGGGTAGGGAGCCAAGAATTAGAAACAGTATCTGTAGAATAGTTTTTCCACCAAGTTTAGCCCTAAAGAGGAGGGACAGTGTTAACTTGGCCTCTTAGAAGGAAGAATGTTAAAGTGCATTTGCGAATCGAAAAGGCTTCACCGGAGGGCTGGGGCGTGAATCAAGGGCCCAGACCTGCCAGAAGGGATGGGATTACGGGGAAGGAGGGCAGTGGAATTGCATTTATTGAACACTTAACTGTGTGTCAGGTGTTCTGCACACATCATGTCATTTCATCATGAGGTGTTAGGAACAGAAAACAGATTCAGAGAGGTGAGGTGATTTTGGCTCATGTTGCACTAAGAAAAATAGAGCTGGTATTGGACCCCGGCCTCAGTGGTTCCAGCACCCCTGCTGTGCCCTGCTCCAGGCTCAGGCCTTGGTAGGACAGTTTTCCTTCATATTGTACAGATCCAGTGGGTGAAAGTTCAGATAAAACCTGCCACTACTTCCTGTTGACTATAGGCATATGCACCCATGTGCTCCAACCATCCAGAACTGCTTGCAGATTCTCAAATATGCAGGTTTTCAGGCCACCATGCATGCTGCTACTGTTGTGTGTGGAATGCCTTTGACCCCTCACATAGAGTTGGCCAGGCTCTCACTGGGCTTCCCATATTGTTTTGTTTTCTTGTTAATCCTCACCTGAGGATATTTTTTCCATTTATTTCTAAAGAGAGTGGAAGGGAGGGAAGGAGAGTAGAGAGGGGAAAGAGAGAGAAACAAACATTGATATGAGAGACACGTGGATTGGTTGCCTCCCGCACACACCCCGACTGGGCCAAGGACGGAACCCGCAAACCCTTACGTGCCCTTCACTGGGACTTGAACCCACAACCCTTTGGAGCACGGGCTAATGCTCTAACCACTGCACCACACCGGCCAGGGCACTTCCCATTCTTGGTGCCATGTTCCTGTACTGTTGTTGCAGTTGCCCGTTTATGTCTTTGTTCTTTTTTATCCTCAGACAGAGTGGGAGGGAGAGAGGGAGGAAGAGAGAGAGAGAAACATGTATGTGAGACGTATCGAGTGGTTGCCACCCACACGACCCCAACCAGGGCCAGGGACAAACTGCAACCAAGGTACATGCCCTTAGCGGGAATTGAACATGGGACTCTACGGTCCGCAGGCTGACTTTCCAACTGCTGAGCCAAACTGGCCAGGGCTCTGTCTTTGTTCTTGAGGGCAAGGACTGTATCTTTATTTTTATTCCCAGTCCTTGGCACATACGCAGGTGTATTTGGAGAAATGAGTTGAGGTAGAGGAAAGACTGCAGGGGCACAGGTCAGGGGGCTTTGGCTCCTGCCTTCCCTGAGATGAACGACTGAGCCCTTCAGAGTGCAGTGGAACTGAGCTGGAGCGTGGAGCTCCTTCAGTGTGGAGGCTCCAGACCAAGTGCTGGGGCGAGTGGGCAGGACAGTTAACGAGGGAATGGACTGCCTAGTCAGTCCAGCGGCAATGTCTGCTCGCTTCTCCGGGCCCTGCAGCTTAGAGCAGCACTGAGCCAGCGGGAGGGCGGTTCGGAGGGCGAGTGCTGTGGGGACAGCATGCCTGACAGTGCTGTCTCCAGGGTGGGCAGGGGGATGATTGTTGGGCCAGGAGGCAGTCACAGCCAAGGTGAGAAACAGGAGAGGGAAGGACAAAATTGTATTCAGTAGCCTTTGCCAGAGTTCACCGTTTTGGAAGGTAGATAGGTTACTGGAGTGCTCTGGAGTTCCTGTGGCACTGCACATCTCTCATGGGAAATCCAGGACCACTGGTTCAAGATCCAGTGGTCAGGCAGGAGGGTGATTAAGCATGGATGTAGAGGATGAGGAAGATAGGTGTGTTACCAAAGGTGGATACGTATAGCCCTAAGGACTTGGAGTATTTGAAATGTGAGGACAGGGGTCTAAGGGTAGTCATGGGGATGGAATGTGCTAACCACCAGAAAGCCAAGTACACTAGCAATGGATGTGGTGTCAAGGTTAAGCACAGGACTCCTTAGCATAGTGGTGGGCTGAGCTGTCAAGGAATGAGGAACCCGTTTTATATTCGCACTTACTATGGTAGGGGAGACCCAGGAAGGTATGCTGGAATTAATGGGCATCTGAGCTCCAACTGTAGTCAGTACGCAGTGTGTACCTCCCCACGGTGCACACCTGTTTCGAGCTTGTGTTCAGTTGAAGGAAGCTCACCTCCTTGCTAGGCCATAAAAGCTGCCAGCTCTCAGAAGTTTGAATCATCTTTCTGGTCACAGGTTTCCTGAGGGTGAGGCTATTTGATCAGTCCATCTCCAGGATTTGATCTTAGCTTGAAGACGTTGTTGCCGAGGGTTTCAAAGGCAGTTGTTCTGAGACCACAGAACTGAGACCCAGCAAAGCCTCTTACAACTACACCACCAGCTATTTCACAATTGTAACTGAACCAGCAGCATCTCATCGTATGTAGGAATTTTAACGGCAGCATAAATGTCATATAAATGTCATTACTAATCACAGCTTTTAAGCATGAGATATAAAACTTAGGCTAACCTTTCTGTTTAAATCCAGGCTTGCGACGCTCGGGCTGTGATCATCTGAAGCCCACCTTCACTCACAGCACTCTCCTGGCTGGACACAGCTCACTCCATCTGAGAAGGGCCCTGTAAATACAAACCTTTCATTTGTAACTTATTTTGTATTAAAACTTTTCAAACATCTAGGCTCTTGGTGTTTGGTAATGCAGGTTGAAGGGGGAGGAACAGAGACAGAAGACACAAATCACCTTACAGATAAACCAATTTTATTGTCCATCATTATGTTATACAAAAGTCTAGAATAATCTGTAAAGAGAAACAAATGAATAGTAAATAAGAGGGCAACAAATAATTTAAATCTGAATCATTTTCCATGATAGTAAGGATGAAAACCATTTCAAAGTACATGTCTGGCTTCAGAGTAGGTTTTGTTCACTGGCAAAGCCCACCATAAAATTAAGGTATTCAGTGTATGTCTGCTCTACTGGCTCTTGACAAAACCTTTGAGGTCTTCCAGAAAAGTAATGTACTCCTGGTGCTCCAGGGCTGTGCTGAGCTCCACCAACTCATCTGCAAAAGTGTTGTCCACCCCTCGGTCCGCAAGGAAATCCATTAGGTGGTCATACAAGGCCTACAAGGAGAAACATTTACCATTACCATTCAAGAATAAAAGAACATTTCATCTGTAACACTTGCTAATTAAAATGTTGTTTGTCTCTCCTTGAACTAGGACCTCCCCTACAAGGCCCAAGAGCACCCCATTTTAACAAGCACTCACCCAGTCCAGGGAGTCTGTGTTGAGTGTGTAATTCGTGTCCTTCCATTCAGATTCACCAGTGGACTGAAAGCTCACTTCCCTGATGGAGAAAATGTCGCTCTCGCCCTCTTCTTCCTGTGCAACCTGAGGAGACACAGTAGTTGGGGAAACTGAAGGGTTTTCCAAGACAAGCCAGACTCATGCTAAGAAAAGGGACTACTGCCCTGGCCGGTCTGGCTCAGCCATTGGAGTGTCGGCCTGCGGACCAGAGAGTCCTGGGTTCGGTTCCCACTAGGGGCACGTACCAAAAAAAAAGAAAGAAAAGGGACTATTTACAGGCTGAAATCAACCAGATTTTAACCTTGCTCCCTCATCCCCTACTTTGCTAGCCTATGGTAGAAATAAGGTCTCCTGAGGCCCTCCTTGTCCCCAGGGGCACCAAGGTGCTAGCACTCCATCCTACATACCTCATCTTCTGGATAGTGACAGTCCAGCACAAGGGCCCTCTTGCCACCGTTCTTTATAACTTCAACCACGAAATTGGGAGTGGATGTCAGTTCAGGCTGAGGAAACAAGAAAAAGTCAGTACATGCCCTTGTTGGCAGAGGTTGGTTGCCTGGACCAAAGGTCTCAGACAATTCAGGAGGTGTGTCTGGAAGCCACCACTATTAGGATGTTACTTAGCCATTTTTAAAAAGTCTTTGCTATAGTGTTCTCAAACAAGGAGACGAGAATCTTTAACGGTACTGAAGCCATATACCAGCTTATTCAGGAAACTGGGCTGAACTCTTCCTATTGATTCTTTCTAGAGTTAAAGATGTTTTCGAGGGCAGAGCACCATGTAGTTAGTACAGTGTTTCACTTCTGTTAGCACCTACTTGTTTAAATAACATACTAGGTTTAGAGTGAAGAAATTTGAATTCCAGCCCCAGCTACGTGCCAGTGAACTGAGATCAAGACTGTTCCTTAGTCTTTCCTGGAGTGTTTCTCCATCTGTAAACTGTAAAGGTGGCGTAAAGCCCCAAGATGTCTCTCTCTCATTTTTAAAATATATTTTTATTGACTTTAGGGAGAGGGAGAGATAAAAACATTGATGAGAATCAAACCAGCGATCTCTTGGGGCATGGGACGATGCTCAACCAACTGGGCTGGGCTGAAGATTGCTTTCTGACTGCTTCAGGACTATCCTACGGCCCAGGACCAAACGATGGTGCATTTGGCTAACTGGTCATCCTATGTATGAATAATCACAGCAACTCTCCCTTTGATGGTGAGCCATCCAGTGTCAGAGAGCCTAGTCTGATGTCACCAGGAAGCTGTGCTCTCTTCTAGGTCATGAGACAATACTGATACCTGCTTAACCAGAAAGTCTGGGGATTCTGGCCCTCACTTTCTAAGCCAGACACACTGCTTCCTAAAATGTTTGAAGAGTGGACACCATTCAGGTCCAACCAAGAGGGCCAACAACCTAAGAAAAGACCTTGCCAAAATCTCTAACGTCCCCAGCTTTGCTACCTTGGTTCAGTGGCTGGTGTTTATTTATTTATTTATTTTTTATCCTCACCTGAGGACATTTTTTCGATATTTTGTTCAGATAGAGTGGGATGGAAAGAGAGAGAAACATTGACGTGAAAGGGACATATCGAGTGGTTGCCACCCACACAACCCAACCAGGGCCGAGGACAAACTGCAACCGAGGTACATGCCCTTAGCGGAAACCGAACCCGGGTCTCTCCAGACCGCAGGCCGACACTCTAACCGCTGAGCCAAACCGACCAGGGCAGTGGTTGGTGTTTATTACCAGCCTGTGACATGTTAGAACATTCCTCACTTGGAAACATTCCAAATGATAATCTCCAGTATCAAAGATCATGGATGGGGTTAAAGACAGTTTCATTCACCCTGGCCGGTTTGGATTAGCGGTGAGAACGTCGGTCTGCGGTCTGGAGAGACCCGGGTTCGGTTCCCGCAAAGGGAACGTACCTCGGTTGCAGTTTGGCCCTGGCCCTGGTTGGGTCGTGTGGGCGGCAGCCACTCGATGTCTCCCTTTCACGTCGATGTTTCTCTCTCTCTCTCTCCCCCACTCTATCTGAAAAAATGTCCTCGGGTGAGGATAAAAAAAAAAAGACAGTTTCATTCAATTCCTATCTATCAGGAGAACAAAGGCCAAGCTATGAAGTCTAAGCCTGCAGGTGGTAATTTACTCAGTCCCTGGGAAAGAAAATGGGCCATACACTCCTGGTACTAAAGCTGGCCCCAAACTGCTGCTCTACAAGTCAAGTCCCAAGGATGGCTGTCCTTTGCCTTCTTTTTCCCCTTCTAGCATTAGAGGAATTAAATACAAAAACAATGCTCCGCTAAAGCCCCTTGGGATAGCCCGTCAGAACTGAGATAAAGGCTGTTTACAGTGCTACAGGCTTACCTCCTGTTCTTCCACCTTCTGCCCTTGGGAGGACTCCTCCTCCCCATCAAATGTTGGTGGGATGCTATTGTTAATGTTGAAAGTGACAGTGATCCTAGAAAGTTAAAACAGAAAAGACAGGGTACAGTTTTAATTGAGTGTTATATAAACATTGAGGCCTGCTACAGTTAAAATGCTTGTTGAAACAATGTCTCTATCCTAGCCAGCTTTTCCTCTGAATTATTACAGACTTTCCAAAAAAGCCCTACATCCCACCCCAAGATGGATTCAGCAGGTCTGAAGTGTGCCTACTTTGTGCTGGCTGCTGGAAGTCAAACTAATAAGCCCCAGTTTATCTCAGCCAGGCCAGTATCCTAGGGCTCACTGCCAACCCGTGCCCACTGTTTCTCGTGGCCATAGCCCACGGACACTGCTCACTGTGGTGTTTCTAGGGCACCCTCTAGTGACAGTGACCAGCTAAGAAGCTGGTGGGATGGAATAGATGCCTCCTTTAAAAAGTTTTTCTATCAGAAAAGCTGCCTCTCAGAGGACAGGAAGTAGGAGCACTAGAGAGCTGCATTAACTAAGGAGCAAGAGCAGCCCCCACCCCAGGAAGGGGAAGGCTCACAAAGAACACTATGCCTGTCCAGCTGGTGTGACTCAGTGGCTGAGTGTCGACCCATGCACCAGGAGGTCACCAGTTTGATTCCCGGTCAGGACACATGCCCAGGTTGTGGGCCCGATCCCCAGTGGGGGGCATGCAGGCGGCCAACTGATGTTCTCTCTCAGCAATGTTTCTTGTTTGTTTGTTTGTTTTTATTCTCACCCGAGGATATTTTTCCATTTTTTTGTACAGATAGAGCAGGAGGGAGAGAGAGGAAGGGAGAGAGAGAGAGAGAGAAACATCGACGTGAAGGGACACATCGAGTGGCTGCCACCCGCACGACCAACCAGGGCCGGGGACAAACTGCAACCGAAGTACATGCCCTTAGCGGGAACCGAACCCGGGTCTCTCCGGACCGCAGGCCGATGCTCTAACCGCTGAGCCAAACTGGCCAGGGCTCTCAGCAATGTTTCTATCTCTCTCCCTTACCTCTCAAATCAATAAAAAAATTTTTGAAAAAAAAAGAACAGTATGCTGCACCACAAATTTTCTTCAGAATACTTATGGGAAGTTATAATTACAAAGCAGGTCAGGAACACCAACTAATGACAATTCTAAGGTGTAAGAATCCTTACTTAACAAATCATGTTCCAAAGTTTGAGTCCAAATTAAAAGTGATGTGCGATTTGGAACGAGCACTGCCAGGCTGTGCTACTCCAGCAGGCACTATCTGCACACTGCACTCTGTAAGTGCTGCCCCTTGGAGCTGTGCTAATTGGCTGCTCCACCAGGAAGCCACTTTCTCATAGGAACACTGGTGTCAGGTTCAGTCACAAAATCTGTCTCATCTTCAACAGTGCTGACCAAGTTGAGCTCCTGGATGCAGAAATGCAGTGCTCACTGGAACTTTATAATGGCCCCAAAGTGGCTATGACTCACCATAGGAAAATGGTTTAGCTGGTTACAGTATACACCTCTTTAGTAATCAGCCCACAAGAAATCTGTGCAGTGAATGAACTACCTGGAACTTAACAAAGTTACCCACATTAATCCTTCTGTGGCTTGACAGGACTGACAAGATGCAGGATAGGTCCTGGAGGCTCATGGATTTAGGCTCCTGGAGTCCACAGGCCCCAGTACTTACTTCTCTCCAGCAACATTCCGCACTAATTTGGCTTCTGTCCCATTCACTTCCAGATTCCAGCCTCCAGACATCTTGGGGAGGGATTTATGCTTCTGTATCTTCTTTTCCTCCTTAATTTCATCATTCAGGAATTCAACAAAAGCTTTGTCCCCTACAATGAAAATCCGTAAGGTACAGAAAAAGAACAGCCCATCAGTCTAAAGTGACCCAGATTACTCTAGCCAGAAATCTGAATTTATCGACTGTTTACAATCCTTCTCTGGGACTTAGTTCAATTCACATCCACTAAGCCTAAGGCTCCTTATCTGTAAAAATGCCATAATACTATCAGTGGGAAGCTGATCTGGAGTCTGGAAAGTGCTTTACAACAAAGAATGCATACTATCTTTCACACAAAGCAATTACCCTCTTCCACTTGCCAAAAGACAATACCCACCCGCACCCGAGGGCATGCTTTCATTGATTTTAGGGAGGGAGGAAGGGGGAGAAAGACGGCACTCAGTTGCCTCCCTCGCGATGGAACCGCAACCTGGGTGATACGCCCTGTCCCGGAACGGACCCCGCAACCTTTTGGTGTACGGAGGCCACTCCGTCCAACTGAGCCACGCTGGCCAGGGCTGACCACGCTGCTTTCAACCCCGACCGTGGGCCTAACCAAGTTCCCTTCTCCAGAGACTAAGGGTCAAGTCAGCTTCCGTGGTTTAAGTGTATGCCTCAACCGAAAATGACACGCATTAAGGAAACGTGATCACACGTGGGTTTCACCCTCTGGCTGCCAATAACTGGGAGCATGTTCTGGACCTCGCGGGGCGGCTCCGGGGGGCCCACTGCTGGTCAACACTTCCCTGCCCCGGCCCCCCACGCCACCCGGCCCACGCACGCGAACTCACCTTCGGTGTGCAGCCCGCCGCAGCCGCAGCCGCAGGCGCAGGGCCCGCGAGGCCGCAGGAGGCTGGGCCGCCGCTCAGACCCCGCGCGCACGCTGAGGAGCCCGAAGGGCCGGGTGCACGGCCGGAGCGCGGGCTGCAGAAGCGGCCGGAGCCCAACCACGGCCGAACCCAGCGCGCGGGGCACGCAGCGCAGCAGAGGCAGCATCGCGAAGGCAGCGGCGTACACGTGAGGATGGAGACGACCTGAGCCAAAGGGCCCCACGAGCTCACCGCCGGAAGTCCCGCCCCCGCCAGGGAAACGCTTCCGCTGGCTCTCTTTACCGGTCAGAGGCGCCGTGGGCGGGACCGCGCCCTCTGCTGGTTCTCCCCCGGGGGCCTCAAATCCGGTGACTGAACCTTTCAGCCGAGGCGTGGCGTGCACGGCGTTCTATTTCGTTTGCAGCATAACTTCCCTCCAGCGGCAGCTTACACTCTCCAAATTTCCACCTACTGTTCTCAAAGCACACCGGCTTTCTGTGACTTCGTGGAATGCACTCTTGCCGTTCCCAGCAACCTAAAGACCAGCCTTCAAGGTCATCCCCCTTGAGAGGCCTTCCTGGAACCTCCTCCTCTCGTCCTCGAGATGGGGAATCTCACCTGTGCATCACCCCACCCCCATTCACCCGCCCCTACGCTCCATCCTTCTCTAGGAGCACCTCCCGCCTGCTGGTTCACCTTCCAGCTTCCCCTCACCGCACCAGCCCAGGTTCCTGCAGGGCAGGAGCTCGGGTTCATTCCTTTGACCTCCTCTCTCCAAACCCTCCAACCTTGCTCTCAGGTTCTGATGGGACATTATTTTTCTGGGAGCAAGAAGCCATGGCTTATATCAGATTTGGGTTCCTACCTTACCATGGCACACAGGATATACAGGGCACCAAGAAAGGAAGTCTTTCCCAATTCATAGCAAAGAGAACATTAATACTTAACATATTCTAAACAACATTCTGTAAATAAGGAAAAAGACCCAAGAAAGCCACACACATCATGTACAACATTCATTTTTAATGAATTTGATAGTCATGTGCAAATTCGAGCATTAAATACAAGAACTGATGTTTCTATAGAGCTGTGTCTATTTGAACAAAACCAGATTCTCAAAATACAGCATAAACCTGAACCAACTTGATTTTTCTTTTTTCTGCAAATTATAAAATTCTGATCAAATAAAATATAATCAAGTCCTTGCTTCCCTGTGTTCCCTTACATGCTCATGGAATGGTATCTTATGCCTGGCCACAGTTCCAAACAGTTCTTGATAGCTGGATTAAGTGGATTTATGTACACAGTACATAAAAATGTTTTACCCACAGAGCAAAAACTTGCCTCCTTTCTGGCATCTCTTTACAACCAGCAGAGATGCAACATTAAGTAAGGGTTTTTAACAAGAACCGGGTGTTGGAGAGAATGTTACAGTTCTTTTTCCCTGGAATGAAATGTGTTGCTCTGGATGATCCACCTGCCATGGTTACTAGAAGTAGATCAACACCTGAGGCATGTGCTCTGTTTGGAGTGCATCTATTTATATGAAGCTGCTCATGGGAGCTGGTGATTCGCCCTTATATGGATTTCACAGGTGGGAAAAGAGGTGTCACACCATTAGAGATTTTACCAATTGAAACAGAGTAGCTCAAGATTATATCACAACATCATTGTGAAACATCTAACTTTCTTAAGAAGGTTTAAGTTTATAATGTACTATCCCCTGCAGCTCAATATAAATAACCATTAACTTGTTTGTAGTAATACATGGAATCAGAATGGGTTTTCCAATCTGATTTAATCCCTGAGCAGCAATGTTGAAAATTAACTTTTTAAAAAGCCCAATAAAAAACTACCATTTTAAAACTCTACCAGAATATCAGTAGTAAACATATTTCTGTACGGAAACATTAAAGCTACTTAGAAGCTATTTACATTCATTTAAAAGCTATTTATCCCTTATTCCTGCTCAGAAAATCATATACAGCCCTGGCCAGTGCAGCTCCATTGGATGGAGCGTCATCCCATACACTGCAAGGTTGAGGGTTCGATTCCCAGTCTGAGAACATACCCAGGTTACGTGTTTAATTCCCCCATTGGGGTGTGTGCAGGAGGCAACCGATGATGTTTTGCTCTCATAGGGATGTTTCCCTATCTCTCTCTCCCCCTCTCCCTTACTCTCTCTCTAAAATCAATTTTAAAAAGCATGTCCTTAGGTGCAGATTAAAAAAAAATTTTTTTTTGTTTTTAAAGAAAAGAATATACATTTTCCAGAAACTCTTTAGGTACTTAAGTTGGACACATATATTCTAGGGGAATTTGTTGAGGGACATGATAAATCACCCAATTTTATACCAGCATGATGAATTTTTTCTTAAAAATACATTTTCTTTGACCAAGTCAGGCTAAACATCCTAGGCCTCTATTAAATAAATGAGAAAAATATACTTTAAAAACTTTCTGAAAAACTTTTCAGAAAATCAGCAACAGTAAAAACAAGTCAATGTAAGGAAGAACTAGCTACAAGTCTAAGTATTCAATAAGACAGGGTAGTCATTTTCAACCGCTGTGCTGCAAAAAATTTTAAAACAGGCCTATTTAGCCAGGGGCACTGATAAATAAATAACAATAGCCAACACAACAATAGCCGTCTGGTGTGAATGAATCAAAATTATACCTAACTTTTTGGTCAGATCGGCAAAAAAATATGTTTTTGATGTGCTACAGAATTTTAATAATTAGCTTATGTGTGCCATGAGATGAAAAAGGTTAAAAATCGCTGAGCTAGGATATATAGGATCCGTCAAATCCTATCTGGCCTAGACTTAAACATCTCAGAGAATTAAGTCACAAGTGCCCTGAACACTAGATAAAAGCTTGGCTGCTCGGGGCCACAGCGCGTGCGGAAGCCTGAGCACGTGATAGACGGGAATGGACGTGAGATGGGAACGGGGCTCCGGCAGGCTGGTCTCCGAGGAGAGCCCACTGGATCCACAGTGAAGAGACCATCACTGTCTCTGAAGGGTCTCTCAGCTCGGCCCCTTGCATATAAACTGCATGGTGAACTCTGTTAAGTAATGACCAAAACACTGCACACATGTAAGTACATTAAAAGGACTAAATCTTGGCTGCTTCTAGGACAAGACATTCATTTGCTTTTTTTTTATCATCCTCACCCGAGGACCTTTTCCCATTTTTTGTTCAGGTAGAGTGGGAGGGAGAGAGAGGAACAGAGAAAGAGAGAAACATCAATGTGAAAGGGACACATTGAGTGGTCGCCACCCGCACAACCAACCAGGGCCGGGAACAAACTGCAACCAAGGTACATGCCCTTAGCGGGAACTGAACCCGGGTCTCTCCGGACCGCAGGCCGACGCTCTAACCGCTGAGCCAAACCGGCCAGGGCGACATTCATTTGCTTTTGATAATTTAATAGCTAAGAACCTTTGATGTCTTTTCCGTTTTCAAAAAAGGAGAATAGGAAGAGATTGTGGAGTAGCTCTAATTCCCTCTGAGAAATGTACACACTAAGGGTTAGACTGATGACTGGTAGACTTAGGAAGTAACAAAGCCACATTGTTATCAAGTCCCAAAGAAGGAAAAAAGATAAAAAAGAATAAATGGCCTGGCTGGTGTGGCTCAGTGGCTGAGTGTCAACCCATGCACCAAGAGGTTGCCGGTTTGATTCCCGGTCAGGGCACATGCCCAGGTTGTGGGCCTGATCCCCAGTGAGGGGCATGGGGGAGGTGGCCAATCGATGTTCTCTCTCATCAATGTTTCTCTCTCTCTCCCCCTCTCCCTTCTTCTCTCTCTGATATCAATAAAGGGAAAAAACTAAAAAATAAACAAGGTGCTGAAATATAAACACCGGACGTGGTGGATGGAGGAGCTGATGCTGTCTGGTTCTCGGAACACTTGTCTCTCCCCACCACCCCAACAGCTCCCCCCGATCTGGGGCCCTGCCAAAAGAGAAACGGATGAAATGTAGCACAGTCATTTCTTATGCTCACATATTTATGGGCCCATACCACTGGGTATGCTAGAGGCCATCACCCTCCAAGATCAGTTTTCCACATTTATACCCAACATGATTCAGAAGATACAAATCAACCTCCACCCAGGAAACCTCCACATCTCCTGCACGGTCAGGAGAGGATACTGCCAGAGAAGCACCAGGGACGAAGACACACAGCTCAGCCACCTGCAGGTGCTCGCTTGCTGTCCTCTGCTTGGAGGCAGCAAGCATCCACACCCTGGGGAGGGGGTTCAGCGGGGGCGGCCAGCCCAGGAGGTAAGAGACAACCACACCTCTCTCTGGAAGCTTCTATAGATGTCACCCTCTTATGTTTTCTATTCAAAAACTTCGTACAGACAGACATTAAAATAGATCCAAGGACGACATCTGAGCTCTGACCTCCCATGGTCCCCTTCTGGAACACTTAGTCTGGAGATCTCAGGATTTGGTTGTACTCCATTCACATTAAAAAGCAGTAACAGCAAGGCAACAATTCATTGTATCACCGTGGGCTACACAGCTCTGGGTACTTTCATTTTCTCTAAACCTCACGACCCCAAGCCCATAAGTATTATCACTGCCTGTGGCACATGAGGACACTGAGGCTCAGAGGTTAACTACATCACCCAGTCACCCAGCAAGAACCAAAAGCATAATTTTGATGTTTCAAAGGAATAAATAAATGGTAGGTGCACATCTACATGGCTGTCTTTGTTTAAAGAAAGACACTTGCGAGCTCCAGGAAGTGAGGCACGTTCCACTATATTAAAACCTGCGGCTCTGTAGGTGCCAGGCTGAAGTCTGCTCTGAGGACGGCTGTGGTCCCAGCTGCCAGGCAGCGGTGGCTCAGTTTCTGGCGGTTCTCAGCTTCCTCCGGAAGTACTCCGGGGCGGCCTCGTACAGCCACTCGGCATCCACCACGCAGAGGTCTCGCATGTAGCACTTGTTGGTATGGAGCAGCTCAGTGTACACGACGCAGGCTGGCTTGCAGTGGAAGAGGACAGAAGAGGGGTGGATGGCCACCGGCTGGTGAGTGTCCGTGGTGGCGTAGGTACCATCTGGCTGAAGCTCAGCCGTGCTCATGAAGAGGCTGTGAGCCAGGCAGCGGCGGACAGTCTCCATGTCTCCGCGGGATGACATGATCGGCATTGACATCTGTTTCAGGAGGAAGCGAGAATTGGAAAAGGCCCCAAACATAAATGCTGCTCAGCACTGCATAGTATTTGGAGCAACTGCACCTAAAACGCAGCTCACACTCCAAGCCTAACAAAGTGGAAGTTGCCATTTGGAGGTGGTCTCCTCCAGTGCCTTAGAGATCAGCGTGGGCAGGGAAGAGGCTCGGTTGGAGGGTGGACTGAAAATAGGAAAACCACAGCCTGGGCGAGTAAGGACCAGGAGGGAGACAGTCATGTGAGGTGCCAAGGCACGGACAGGTTCGGTGACCCAGCACCTACCCCTTCGTGGAAGTTACATCACCATCTCACACACTGCTGCCGAACAATCTTCCTATAGCACGACTCCAGTCGTTCTTCCCCACTGAAGGCCTGCACTGTCCACGGCTCCTGGCAAAGCAGCGCAAGCTTCCGACTGTGAAGCCGGGAATGAGCGAGCCCTCCTGGGCACCCTGAGGCCCTCCAAACTCAACTGCCTTCTCCTTCGTAGGCCCGTTCCATGAGGGTGCCTTCACACACACCCCACTAGGAGACACGGCACCCCTCAGCTCCACAGTGGAAGTGTCGGTCGTCAGTCCCTGACCCCCACCCTTGCTGAGCGGGTCACGTCACCTTACACCCCAGGCCACAGCTGAACCAACCAGTGGCATGCACTTGCCTGACCACGCTGACCAGAATCCTCCCTGCCAGGCGTTTGGAGTCTGAACACGGGAATCTGAGCAATCCCTGTTAGTGTGTCTGGGGGGCCAGGGAAAGCAGTCGCCCGTGCTGAGGCAGGTGAGAAGGGGAAGGAGGCATGCAGACAGCAGCCAAAGCAAGAGTGCAAGCAGGGCCAGAGAAAGCTGCCCTTGCTCCTGGTGGCCGCCTCCGGTTCTCATCCGGTCCTGGGGGGCTGGGCTATTTCCTGCCCACAGGTTTCCAGAGATTCCTCTTTATCGCCCGTTTTCCCCTTTAGGGTGGCTCCGGGTGGTTTGTTCTTTGCAATCAGCGGATCTGGCCTGATGAAGACACTGTCTCATCTGTCAGGATGTAGCTCAGTAACACCACATCCAGGAAGCCCCGAGTCCTAGCGAACTGGTGGTTTCTCCTTCCGGGCTGCCAGCTGTACCACTGGCTATGTGAGTGGAGGCAAATACTTAACTTCCTTAGGTTCTAGTGTCATGATTGGTGAAATGGGAATATACACAGAATTAACCTTATAGGGGTGAAGTGAGGATTTCAAATAAGGCAATCATGTGAGAAGTGTTTAGAACAGGGCCTTATTAAGGACGTCATCAACAATTTTTATAGTTATTATAATCATAATTATTATTGGCTCCTCGCATGAGTTATATGTGTACATAAGTAAGATTGCCCCTCCGGAGTGTTGCTGATGCCACAGTCCTGGTGGAGCTGTAACTCCAGGACCGTGACAGTGATTGGCACAGCAAGAGGGCGGTCAGCCACAAAAGCTTCTCCAGGCAGAACCCACAGAGCAACCCACTGGTACTGTCATGAATATGCTGAGAAACTCACAAAGCTGAGATGGTCTTGCAGGCAAACTGTTCAAGTGCAAGAGCGGTTTAGAAAAACAAGTAAAATTCAGAACACAACAGGCTACTATGAAAAGAAATAGCACTGGTGTTAACAATGGGCCACTGGCATCAGACATGGGCCAGGCGAGTCTCGTAGGAACGTGCAGACAGTCTGCACTGAGGGGCTGTCTCAGAAGAGGCCTGACACACACAGACATTCACCAGAGATGTTTATGCAGTGAAAGTGGGCACCAGGCCACAAACACATACGTCGAAGGATGGTCATTATGAATAACCCAGACGGCCACCACTGGGGGCTTGGTTAAGTACCATGTAACGGATACAACAGAATGCTATGAGGTCACTAAAAAGAATGAGACAGACACATGTAGTCACTGAAACACAGCCACACACACTAAGTATTCAAGACATATACCAAATGGAAAAAAGCAAGCTGCAAAACAAAGTGTATATCATATTTACTTTCCGAAGAAAATTTTATGTATCCTCATGTATGTACACACACACACACACACACAATTCTAGAAGGATCTACACCAGACTGTTAATGTTCTGAAATGTTCTGCATTATATATCACTATTTTCTACATTGTATCACTTTGCAACAATTATACACTACCTATGTAATCTGAAAAGAATAAAGATATTCCTACTAAAAAAAAAATCTTCGACAATTCTACTAACATTGGAAAATACTTTTATGGTTCACAGAAGCTGAATATAAATTATTCATACAATGTAACTAAGTATGTAGAAAACTTTAAAAGCAGAGCTATAAAAAAACAGACTAAAATGGTCAGAGATGAAATTAGGGGTAATTTTTACTTTCTTCCTTATTTAAAAAATTTACTGCAACAAAAGTTTCTTTTGTAATCACTAGTTATAAGCAATTAAAATTTTTCCACCTACAATGAGGTATCACTTCACACCTGTCAGAATGGCCACCCTCAACAAATCATCAAACAAGTAAGTGCTGGTGAGGGTGTGGAGAAAAGGGGACTCTAGTACACTGCTGGTGAGAATGCAGACTGGTGCAGCCACTATGGAAAACAATGTGGTGTTACCTCAAAAAATTAAAAATTGAACTGCCATTTGACCCACTGATCCCACTTCTAGGGATATACCCTAAGAAGCCTGAAACACCAATCAGGGAGAATATATGTACCCCCACGTTCATAGCAGCACTATTTATAATAGCTAAGATCTGGAAACAGCCCAAATGTCCATCAGTAGACGAATGGATAAAAAAGCTGTGGTACACATACACAATGGAGTACTATGCAGCTGTAAGAAAGAAAGATCTCTTATCCTTTGAGACGACATGAAGGGACCTAGAAAGTATTATGCTAAGCGAAACAAGCCAAACAGAGAAAGATAAGTATCATATAATCTCACTTACTTGTGGAATATAATGAACATAACAGTCTGAGGAATGGGGTAGTCCCAGAGACGTGGAAGTGGGGTACAGACTGACAATCCCCAGAAGAGGAGGTGGGAGGGGAGAGAGAAACCACAGAACTTATATGCATGTATGCATGAACAATGGACATGGACAACAAAGTGGGGACCGGGGGGGGGGGGGATCAGTGGAGGAAAAGGAGAAACATCTGCAACAAAAATAAATAATTAAAAAAGAAATTTTTTTCCACCTAGAAAAAAGCGACAGCTTAGTAGGAAGAATACCTTTAAGCAGATATCTCTCAGCTGTGCTCTGACTTCAGCTACGAGCATCATATTCTTGCTGTTGACAAAATTCTCTTTGCACCAATCCTGAATAGGAGAAACAGAGATATAATCCTTTCATTTCTATAGTGAAAATAATATAATTTTTATTATTTCAGAGAGAGGAAAGGAAAGGGAGAGACAGAAACATCAATCAGCTGCCTCCTACACACTCCCCACTACAAACCAAGCCTGCAACCCAAGCATGTTCCCTGACCAGGAATTGAACCTGAGACCTCCTGGTACATGGGACGACTCTCAACCAACTGAGCAACACCGGCCAGACAAAATAATATAATTTTTAGAACATAGTTGAATTTGGAGGAAAAACTTCAGTTGCCCAAAATATAGAAAAATATCTTTACTAAAGAGGGGGGTGGTGGGGGAGAGAGAAACCACAGAACTTATATGCATGTATGCATGAACAGTGGACATGGACAACAAACTGGGGAAAGGGCAGGGAGGGAGGGGGAGGGGGGAATCAGTGGGGGAAAAAGGAGAAACATCTGTAACAAAAATTAATAAAAAAGAAAAAAAGAAAAACATCTTTACAGCAAAGCATAAACCATAAGGAGGAATATTAATTTAATTTAAACTAAAGTAAAACTAAAAATTTTCTTATGTCAAATCATTATGAAAAATGTTATGCACTGAGATGTTTGCATTACTATACCCGATAAAATACCTCCAGAATGTATTAAAAATGGAGAAAAGATGCCCTGGCTGGATAGCTCAGTTGGTTAGAGCATTGTCCCCATACATCAAGGTTGTGGGTTCGATCCCCAGTCAGGGCACATACAAAAATCAAGTAATGAATGCATAAATAAGGAGAACAACAAATCAATGTTTCCCTCTCTCTCTCTCCCACTCCTTCCTCTCTCTCTCTAAAAATCAATCAATAAATTTTGTTTAAAAAAGAACTTCCTATAAATCAGAAAAAGAGCAACAGTCCAGTAGAAAATGGACAAAGGCTATGAACAGACAACTCAGATCTACTAGAAATGACCAGTAACCAATAAACTTGCATAAGGATTTTCAGCCCTAGCCAGTTTGGCTCTGTGGTTAGAATGTCGGCCCTCAGACCGAAGGGTCCTGTGTTTGATTCCCGGTCAAGGGCGTGTACCTGGTTTGCAGGCTTGATCCCCAGCCCTGGTCAGGGTTGTGCAGGAGCCAACCAATCGATGTGTCTCTCTCACATCGATGTTTCTCTCTCTCTCTCCCCCTACCTCCCTTCCACTCTATCAAAAAATCAATGAAAAAATGCCCTCAGGTGAGATTAACAACTACAAAACAAAGATTTTCAGTCTCTTGAGGAATCAAGGCAAAGTAGTTTAAACAGCTAAGAAACTATTTCCCATCCATTAACTTGGTAAAAACTAAAGTCATTTCAACTAAGCATTGGAGAGCGCTGGAGATAATGGTGGAAATGGAAACTCTTACACATCGCTAAGGGGTGTATAAAGAGGTGCTGACAACTTTGGGGAGCCACATGCTAGCCTGGTAAAGCTGGGTGCAGCTACCCAGGACCAGCAGGTCCACTTCAGAGTGTTGGCCCAGAGAAATACTCCCCCTGTGCACAAGGAGACCCACACAGACATTCGCTGTGGGGCTGAAAGTGGAAACAAGCTGCAGATATCTGCAGAAGCTGAGGTTCGCAGACGTGAAGTGAAAGCACGCTGCCTCCGTGGGAACACTCCAACCTCGGACCCTGGCTCCACGGGAGAAAGGACTAGGGTAGCGGCAGTGCTGGCTTTAGCTGTATAAAATCTACAGCATTTTATGTCCTTAAAAGTAAATCGAGACAAACAGAGCACCATGTTAACAACTGCTCGAAGTGGGCGCTGGCTTTTATTTTTTTTAAGAATCGACTGCATTATAACCAATGGACATAGATAGCAATGCTGGCGGGGGGAATGGGGAGGAGGGTGCAGTGGGGGAAAAAGGAAACACATCTGTAACGAAAATAAATTAATGAATAAAAAAATATTTTTTTCTTTATTGCTTTGAGAGAGAGAGGAAGGGAGAGAGAAAGAGAGAAACACTGATGAGACAGAACATCGATTGGCCACCTCCTTACTGGGGATTTGGCCCACAACCTGGACGTGTCCTGACCGGGAATTGAACTGGCGACCTCTTGGTGCATGGGTCAATGCTCAACCACTGAGCCACACTGGCTAGGCATTAAAAAAAATTTTTTTTAAAGAATTGACTGCATTAAAATACAGACCAAGTTAAAGCACGCACCCTGTGGCACAATTACTGATTATAATGACACATGAAACAATATATTGCCATTCTCCATCTTGGTCCAAAGAACTAAAATATTATGCAAGCAAAAACTACTACAAAATTAGGGGCAGGTGGGAAAAATCCATTCTGCAGCTAAGAAACTGGTTACTAACTACTGAACTAACTTTCCCACAGTAAGTACAAGTTACACACAAGCACAGCAAAGACTGAAATCACATTTCTTCCCTGGTACTGGCCTTGCACACAGATGTTTCTGAAATGACAGCCAACATTCTTTTCACGGCTCTTTAGATGATTCAGCCAAAGAAGGAAGGTCCACATGTCCAAAAAGAGGTCTCACTTGAGAAAAGGTACGAGCCGAGGCTCACCTTATTCCCGCCTATGTTTCTGAAGGTCCGGTAGATGTTGAGCAGGGTGACGTGGTCACCCTCGCTGGATATGAACTTCTTCCGGACGCCCTGCACCTCGTCCCGCCGGGAGGGTGGGTTGTAGAGAACGCTGTCCACGGACAGCAGGGAGACAATGGTCAGGATCTCCTCCGTACAGTGGAATTTGGGGGATAGGAGGATGGTCTGCAAATCAAAATTAAAAACTGAGTTAACCACAATTCTTCCTAGCTCCAAATACAGTATTTCTGTATACTGCTTTGCAGCTTCCCTTCTAAGGCGTTAAAGGGCAGGTGTTTCTAAAACCATGACTGTGTGTTAATGTTACTTGACTTGTTTGTAAAACAAACGATTGCCTTCCCTGCAGGATTCCAAATTCCTTGTGGGTAGGGCTCATGACGTAATATGAGTTCTAATCCCACACAGAACATAAACCAGGGTTAGACACAAAGTTGGAAGGGACAGTTACTCAGGAAGAAAGTGAAGATGCATCTAGAAGCACTGGGTTAGTCTGCTTTGGGATGGCTAACCTGTAACGTATAGAAAGGGGACTGAAGAGAGGGCATCATTTACTTTGGCAAATTTGGGTTCTAAGGGAAATGCTGCCATCTTTCTTCCCATTGGAGTCAGGGTAAGCTGGCCATCCTTGTGTTCAAGAGCACCTAACAGGTCCAGCTGGGCAATGGCCGCCTGAACGTGATCTAAAGAAACAGAGACATAAAAAGGAGCCAAGAAAATCAAAAAGAGAAGTTGTGACTTGTTCAGTATTTCCAGGAGCTTCTGATAACTTGACAACGGATCGAACCGCAGCAAAGATTACAACCACCATGGTCCCCAGGACATACTTTCAAAGCTGTTAATGACATCGCTGTCTTCAGTTCAATTCCCCTTTCAAGGAATGGGCTGTAATTTGACAATATGTACGTCAATTTTGAACCCAGCAACGTTACACTTAAGAATTTCACCCACGCCCTGGCCGGTTTGGCTCAGCGGTTAGAGCATCGGCCTGCGGTCCGGAGAGACCCGGGTTCGGTTCCCGCTAAGGGCATGTACCTCGGTTGCAGTTTGTCCCCGGCCCTGGTTGGGTGTGCGGGTGGCAGCCACTCGATGTGTTCCTTTCACATCGATGTTTCTCTCTCTCTCTCTCTCTCTCTCTCTCTTCCTCTCTCTCCCTCCCGCTCTGTCTGTATAAAAAATGGAAAAACGTCCTCGGATGAGGATAAAAAAAAAAAAAAAAAAAAAAAAAAAAAAGAATTTCACCCACAAAGAAAAAATATAAAATTAAATAAAGAAATGAATTAAAAGAATCTCACCCTCAGACACACTCAGACACTGTACAGGGACCTGTATCCCAGAAGCACACATGACAGCGGAGACGCCAGGGCCCCTGGTGAGAAGGCCACCATTCACTATTCACTCTTTACACTTTACGAATTTTGAACCATGCAAATGCATTACCTACTAAAGAATACAAAAGCACTCCTAAGATGTAATACATACATACACACTGAGAGGAAATGACCTGTAACACATATTAGGTGCAAAAAGCAACGTGCACACGCCTCCGTCAACAGGAGAACGGCGAGGTGCCCTTTGCTTCCTTCACAGAATGGAACAGCATTCGGTGGTGAAAACACATCAACACACCCTTACAAAACAGAACAAATAAAAAGGGAAAGTCACTGAAGACATGTTTCGACACAGAAACATGCAAATGAAAACAACACGTTTGGGGATACACGCCCACAGAGGGGCACGTGACGGAAAAGCAAGGGGACTGCCGACAAACGTGGGAGGCGGTTACCTCGAGGGAGGGGGAGGAACGAGTGCACCAGGGAGGGTCCGGGGCTTCGAGGGCGCTGCTAAGGGGTGCACGGGGCTGGTTCCACACTCCTACCTTGCGTGTATGTTCTCCCTTTGTGTGTAGGAAGTTAGCAATGAAAAAGATACAATTTTTTCTCTTTTCTTTTTTTGCTTTTTTTAAAATTGTGTCTATCTGAGATAATGGATGCTAACTGAACTTACAAGTAGTAATTGTTTCATAATCTGTGTAAGGCAAATTATTAGCTGTTCACCTTAAACAGATACAGTGATGTATGTTAATTATATCTCAAAACTGGAAAAAAAATAAGTGAACAGTGCACACTGTGTACTGCTGTGTGTCTGAAGAGACTGCATACACTTGCACAAGCAGAGATTTTCTCTAGAAGACAACTAGAAAATGGTCACAGTGGTTGTTTTAGGGACAGGAAACTAAGAACCTGAAGATCAGGGGTGGGACCCTTGTATACCCATCAATTTTTACTTAAAAACCAACAAAAAACAATTACATTTCTTCACTTAATAGAGAGGCAAAAAAAGAAAAGCAAAATCACGTATTGAAGAGACATCATGTGCTAAAACTACCCTTGTTAGGAAAATCCCTATTACATCTTCCTCCATGGAGAGATCAGTAAGGGCAGAAACTGATCAAATTCCAGTCAAAAAAGCAAAGAAACGTGATCTTTTCAGTCCTTTTGCCGGCAGAGTACAATTCTGTTAGGTTCCTGCAGAGCCCTGGGACGCCGACTCCTTTCAGTGGTCCCGGTGGTCGAGCAGCCCACTGTGCCTGTACGAAGCCACGTTTCCGCCCGGGACGGCGCTGGTGGCCCCACTCTCTCCATCCATGGTTCTCAGACACTTCTCTGATGCTAACGTTCCCCACCAGTTTCCAAAGGAGACCTCTAAGATACTTTTGAGAGTCCATTTGCTGTTGTTTGTCTACCTGTACAGCTGCCACTCCACTGAAGATTCCACTCACCTGGAGATGGCTTGGACATGAAGTCGAAGGTGAGCACGTTGGGGACTTTCATTGCCAGGAGCTGCAGCATCACGCTCGCCAGGTTACACCTATGAGAACGAGAGATGTGTTGTTCGTGCTCCCTGACCCTCCAGCCAGGGAGTCAGAACCATCCACTGAGGCGTGTCAGTGAGAACTGCAGCTCGAGACCTGAGCAAGCAGGAGAGGGAGCTGGGGACCAAGGGCAGGGGTGTGGGAGCACCTCGGGCCCACCTTTGGATCTCTGGCACAGTCATCTTCTCAAACTTCTCAAACTCATCCTCCGTGTAGAGCCGGTAACAGATGCCACTGTCCTCTCTGCCAGCTCGTCCTGTGCGTTGCCAGGCCTGGGTCTTTGACACCCGCTGCACAGCTAACACCTCCAGGCCACTGTCTGGAGGGAGAAGGGCCACATTAGTGCTTCACTCATCACATAAACTGTTTCTACAGTGTGGACAAAAAGAAGCATTCCCGAGAACACCAGTGTTCCCTTGTGCAGTATATGAGTCCACAAAATTCAAGGCTAAATCCAAAAGCACAAAACCAGACTGTTCTACAGTGAAACAAGGGCGTGTAGTGGACACTGTAGGAAATCTATTGTTAAACATCAGGAAAAATTCATGCTTCTATCAGGGGGCCAGGTTGGTCACTTTCAGGTCTGGCTTAGATCATAGGGTGATAACCATGCCAGTTAGCCGGGACTTGGGCTTTCAGTGATAGAACCAGGACAGTCTCGAACTGGCTGGTTTGGCTCAGCGGTTAGAGCATTGGCCCGTGGACCAAAGCGTCTCGGGTTCGATTCTGGTCAAGGGAATGTACCTCGGTTGTGGTTCGGTCCTGGGCCCTGGTGAGGGGGTCGTACAGGAGGAAACCAGTCAATGTGTCTCTCTCACATCGATGTTTCTCTCTCTCTCTCTCCCCCTCCCTCCTACTCTATCTGAAGATAAAAATGGAAAAAAGTATCCTCGGGTGAAGTTTTAAAAACAAACAAAAACAGGACATCTCTGGCAACTAAGATGGTTGTCACTCAATGACTCAGAAATGAAACGCCTCCAGTCCCTGTATACTGTACCCTCCCTCCCAGCTCTATTGTAAACGAGACAAAGTGATGCTATCAAGGAGTGAGACACATTTTCTTGACAAAGGTGTACTCTGTGCCAGGCCCTGGAGAACCAAGCCCTTTCCCACATTATCACTGAGGCTCTGGCCAGTTTGGCTCAGCGGTTAGAGCGTCGGCCTGCGGTCCGGAGAGACCCGGGTTCGGTTCCCGCTAAGGGCACGTACTTCGGTTGCGGTTTGTCCCCGGCCTTGGTTGGTCGTGCGGGTGGCAGCCACTCGATGTGTCCCTTCATATCGATGTTTCTCACTCTCTCTCCCTTCCTCTCTATCCCTCCCACTCTATCTGTACAAAAAATGGAAAAAATATCCTCGGGTGAGGATAAAAAAAAAAAAAAAAAAGATATACCCACATTATCACTGAGGGATACACAGGTCAAAGTCAGGGGCTTAGTAGTGCATTTCAATTAAATGAATGGGAGTGATCATTTCAGCTGCCTCCAATCCTCTGTAGGAAAAAGCAAGGTATAAAACAGACACAAAGAAAGGTAACTGAAGCAAGCTTCCCATTGAACATTTCAGGAAACAGCCAGTGCCCACCTGGCCTAGGTAATCCTGGGAAACCTGGGGCATGACCTGGCCGTGCTCAGTACTACTTCTGAGAGCCTCTGATGTGCTTCCATTCTCACTCGGATTCTGACAGCGTTTCAGACGCCTCTCTGTTCCCTAGTTTGTTACACCCACCTTCTCTTTCCACCCTGCCTTCCTGTCTCCCATACCGCCTCAGGTCTCCTTTCCAGAGCTGCTTCCGGACTGTCTCACTCTGGGTGCCAGCCACCCAAATCTCAGTTACAGACATGACATGCTCATTTGGGGGAAAGTGTGGGACTACAGGAAACTCAGTGGTTGCTCACTACACAGAGAAGAGACATTTACGAGCTACACATTCTCACCAGGGTTATACTTCTTTGCTTTAACCATGCCCGTGTCAACTACATATTTTATTCCTGTAATGGTTATGGAGGTTTCAGCGATGTTGGTTGAAATGATCACTTTGCGATAACCCTAAAAGGAGGAAGAAAACCAAAAAGCCGTATGACATAATATGATTCAGAAGACATAAAACATATTCCTTACCATTAATTCCCGTAATTCACTTATGATCAAGAAAAGATGACTTTGTTATTAATGACAGTTTTAAAAAAATTTTTTCTTTGCTGATTTTTTTTGAGACAGGAAGGAAAAGGGAGTGAGAGACAGAAACATCGATGAGAGAAAACATTGACTGGCCACCTCATACATGCCCCCCACTGAGGACCGGGCCCACACTGGGCATGTGCCCTGACCAGGAATCTAACTGGCAACATCTGGGTGCATGGGTTGACGCTCAACCACTGAGCCACACCGACTGGGCATAATGACAGTTATTAACACTGACAGTGGATCATAAAACTGGGTGGGAGAGAAGGGATGGGACGTTCCAGTCTTAAAGCTCAGTTTGAGGTGATGAGATGTGGTGAAACAGGACAAGACTCAGCAGCAGCTAAATGTGGCTGGAAGCCTGGCGCTGCCAGTTACCTACCGAGTGCCCCTTGATCAACTGTTACTTCCCTTCTCTGGGCCTCAGTGTTTGTAACATGGGATCACAGCCTTACCCTGCCAGTTCTCGAGACAATGAGAGACTGTACGTAAAATGTCAGCACAGTGCCTGGCACAGTGTGGACCCCAATAAATGCTGCTATGGGCAAATGCAGCTTGTTAGGTTGGACCTTGGAACGGTCCCTTATTTACCCTCCAGCTTTGCCTTGGCACTCTCCCTCACCCTACAACAGTTCCCTGTTCTCACCAAGAGAGAGCCGCATCTGTAGCTGCACATTCCGTTCCTGCAGTATCTGGTGCCCGAGCATCCCGTCCCACACACCTGATCTGGGGTCTGGTGGCAGGGATACCTACAGGCCCCACTGGTGGATCCGTCTGTGTGCCCAGGGATGGGGCTGGATGAGGAGGTGGTGCACTCACCTTTGGGGCCCCCTGGAAGACACGGAGCTGTTGGGCATAGGGCAGGGAGGCGTACAGAGGAAGGACCAACATGGAGGGGCAGCCGTCTGGGAGGTGCTTTGCAATGTCTCGACAGGTCTTGCTCATTGCTTCAATTTCCTCCTGACCAGTGAGGAACACCAGGATGTCCTGAGAAGAAGGTGCTTCCTATACAAAAGTTAAAGTGGGATTACTCGGCATTAATAGAAGTCGTTCACCTAGCAAAGGGAAAAACATCCAAGTGTTAACAACACACTCCTCCATTTGGTCTTCTTGGAAGTCTGTTCAGGTATACTTGTAAAGTACTTGATGACAAAATAATTGAAAAAATATTTAGTAATAATATGTGAGAATATGTATATATGTAAATACATATTTATGTGTGTGTACATTTTTAGCCCACTATTAACAGGACAAGTGTTCAGAGGTACACACACACAGGACAAAATCTAAAACAGTCAAAATACCGTCAGTGGGAGGACTCATCAAAGCTAGCATGCACCCTGAACGCACCACTCATGAAAAAGTCTCACCTCAGCTTGACTTTTAGAAGTTAAACAAGGAAGACTGACCTTTTTCTCCAAATACTATCAAGATGACAATAAAGGCATAAGCCTAGAAAGACAAAGACAACAGGAGAAAATACTAGATTAGAAGTGTCAACCCACTTTTGAAAGACGGAAGAGATGGGGGAAGGTGGGCGTGACCAGCTGGGCGGAGGAAATTCCAACCTGGGTGTCTGATAACGGGAAAGTGACAAGAGATGCACCAATTTCCCTGGAGAAGCCAGAAAGGCGTGGGACTTGGGTGCAATGCAGAGGTGGATGTGGGAAGGTGAAAACCCAGGGATCAGCTCAAAGTCTGAGTACAGTGTGGGTAAATCCCCCAGGTCCCCTCCTCTACCCAATGCAGCCAGGAAACTGGGAAGACATGGGGGCTCGAATGGGACTCAACACAGGAGGATGGTAAAGGAAAGAGCCAGGATGACAGCTACACAGAGGCCCTGCAGAGCAGCATGAAGGACTCTGGGAAAAGTGGAACATGTTTGACCACATAACTAATATCCATGATTGGCCTATGACAGACGCTGTACCACTTGGGAAAAAATTAGCCAAACATACCTAGAAAACATACAACTGTGTGTACCAGGAACGAGGCACTGAGATGGGGCATGCCAGCAAGGCAGGGACAGGATCCTGCAAATACTGACAGACTATGTTGAAAGGATGACGGAGAGAAGCAAGAGGTGGAGGAGGGGTATTTCTACATCCTCGGTAAGAATTAACACATAATACCTAATGTCAGTAAGTCAAAAAATAGCAATATAAACAGGTTATTTTGGAAATAGGAAGGTAATATTCAGGGGAAACAGCGAAGAAGCTGAAAGTGGTTACTCTAAAGCGCAGGAATCTGGGATGGGAAGTAAAAGTAACTGCTGTCTTTTATGAGCCTTTTAGAATTAACTACTTAACTCTTAAAACTTCAAACTATACACACGGCACTTGGATTAAAATGGAAATTAATTTTTATTTTTTATTTATTTATTTATTTTTATCCTCACCCGAGGACATTTTTGCATTTATTTTCAGAAAGAGCAGGGAGGGCGAGAGCGAGAAAGAGAAACGTCGACGTGAAAGGGACACATCGAGTGGCTGCCACCCACACGACCCCATCCAGGGCCAGGGACAAACTGCAACCAAGATACATGCCCTTAGCGGGAACCGAACCCGGGTCTCTCTGGACCGCAGGCCGACGCTCTAACCGCTGAGCCAAACCGGCCAGGGCATAAAATGAAAATTAATTTTTAAAAGTGTGCTCTAGATTTTTTTTCAGAAAGCTAGTGAGTGGGAAGGTAAAAACAGTCAATTGTATACAAATTACACAAACAAAATTGAGGTGATTTACTCACTCAAATTTTAAGTAAATGTTTAAAAAAATGAGAAGAGATTTTGAAATGTTTCCCTAATACAGTTTTGTAGGGTTTTTTTTTTTTTAAGAAAACTAAACTGGGACCCATTATTAGGTGAATACTAACTTCTTTTAATATGAGGAAGAAAATGCCAGAAAAGATGCATGTGGTGCAGGAGGCAGTGTTTCATAGGACTTATTTCAGTGTACTAGATGGCAACATAAAACGTGCTTCCGCCCTGGCCGGTGTGGCTCAGCAGTTAAGAGTGTTGGCCCGCACACCAAATGGTCAAAGATTGGATTCCCGGGCAAGGGTACGTACCTGGGTTGCAGGTTTGATCCCTGGCCCTGATAGGGGCATGTTCTGAAGGCAACCAATCGATGTGTGTCTCACACTGATGTTTCTCTCTACCCACTGCCCCTCCTTCCACTCTCTCTAAAAAAGCAATGGGAAAAATATCCTAGGGTGAGGATTAACAGAAAGAAAGAAAGAAAGAAAGAAAGAAAGAAAGGAAGGAAGGAAGGAAGGAAGGAAGGAAGGAAGGAAGGAAGGAAGGAGCTTTTCACTGGGGAGTATGATGAAAAAAAAAAAAGTGTTTGCAAGCCACTGCTCTAACCTATGGAAGTTTTCTGGCTCAGCTGAGGAAAGATGCTGGTCAGAGTTAACTTAATTTTAGAGAAAATGAGATACCCAAAACAAAGGATACCACTCTGGACACAGTCAGTAAATTCCTGACTCACCTTACTGACACGGCTCACCAAGCTGTTTCACTCAGTAGCTTTCTTTTCAAGGCTGACTACGCTATCAACTGTACAGCAAAGCAGACCTTTTCTGGAGCTGGCGCCCACCCCATACCTGGTGAATCTGGAAGACGGAGACAAGGGCGGCGTGCAGGTAATCCTGCTGAGGTTGCTTGGTGTAGAAAACCTGGATCGGATGCTGCCGACCCTCCAGGTAGAGGACAGGGGCTCCATTGAAATACTGCGAGAACAGGTCCACGTCCATCGTAGCCGACATCACAATCACCTGGGTGCGAGATGGAAGACGAAGATGGCAATAAACACTGTGACAGCCCTTCTTTGTCCCTCCCGAGCTCTAAAAGCAGATGATGACGCCTGTGCCACTCCCATTACAGAGGTTAACTGTCCGCGGCTCTGAAGCAGAATGGACAGGGAGGACACGCTGAGGACGACACGCAGGCCTCCTTCCTGAAGTGCGGCACCTACTTTAAGAGGCAGCTTCCCCAGCTCCTTTCGCCTCCTCTGTGCAGCCTTCACCACTCCGAAGAGCACATCTGTGTGGACAGTCCTTTCGTGGGCTTCATCCAAAATGACACAGCTGTACTTCCGAAGCAGAGAGTCTGAAATCGCTTCCCGCAGAAGCATGCCATCTGTCAGGAACTTGATCCTGGTGTCTTCTGAGGTGACATCATCGAAGCGCACTGTGTAACCAACCTGTGCAGGGAAATTATTCATTCATCAAACGCCTGTTGCACACCTACTATGTAACTGGCACTGCGCTATTGCAGTGAACAAGACCAACACCAACCCTGCCCTGCTCCCTCAGCAGCAGGCAGGCTGGTGCTGACACAGACGCAGCACGTGCACCTTTAACTGCAAATATAATGAGTGTGACCAAGAATGTTAAACTAGCCTCCTACCCCCAGCTGCTTAACAGTTTCAAGCGAAGCTTATGTATAGATATGAAAAGATGTCCATGTTTTCAAGTGAAATGCATAAACAGACATACACAAATATGACTTACACACAGTTCTGGGACTCATTCTCAATACCCACATATATGCTAGAAAAATACTTACAATTTTTCTAGAGAGACAGAGAGATAAGAGATTTAACAGAGGTTATTGATGCCTTAAAAATGCTCAAGGAGCCCGGTTGGTGTGGCTCAGTGGTTGAGCGAGGACCCATGCACCAAGTGGTTGCCAGTTCAATTCCCAGTCAGGGCACATGGCCAGGTTGTGGGCCCGATCCCCAGTGGGGGGCATGCAAGAGGCGGTCAATTGATGTTCTCTCTCATTGATGTTTCTCTCTCTCTCTCTCTCAAATCAATAAAGAAAAAAAAATTTTTTTAAATACTCAAGGAAAAAAACTAATTTATCCAACTAGCCAACAGATTTTGAAAGCAAAGCAAATGGGACCGATAGCCTGCCAGACCCTCTGATCTCTTAGGAACTGGTAAAGATCTCTGAGAATTGCCTAAACAACTGTGGCAAGAAAGTAGCTCACTACATATAAGGAGTCTTGCTCAGAAAAATAAAAGGCAGGGGAGAGAGAAATGTTGGTAAAGAAGGAAATTAGGTACCAGCTTCCCAAGTTCAGTTCTCTTCTCATCTGAGACTCTAGTAGCAAGAGAGATGGCAGCCACTCGCCGAGGCTGGGTCACAGCAATGATGCCCTGGCGGCTAATCCCCCCTTCATAGAGGTACTGAGGGATCTGAGTGGTCTTCCCGGAGCCAGTTTCCCCTAGGAAAGAAAAAGTTACACTTAAATGCAAATTGAAACAATTTTCACCTGACAAATGTATCAAAGTCGGAAGAAAAAGATAAAAGAAAATATGCTGGTAAAGCCACAGGAAACCCGGTACTCACAAATATTGGTGGAGTGTTCATTGGGATTGTTTCTCAGAAGGCCAAATTATATCAGACAAAAATCTTTAAAATGTTTATACCCTTTGCCCAGCCGGTGTGGCTCAGTGGTTGAGCGTCGACCCATGCACCAAGGGGTCCCGGTTCGATTCCTGATCAAGGCACATGCTCAGGTTGTGGGCCGGATCCCCAGTGGGGGGCATGCAGGAGGCGGCCAATTGATGTTCTCTCTCATCGATGTTTCTATCTCTCTCTCCCTTCCTCTTTCTCTAAAATCAATGAAGAAAAAATAAATAAGTAAATAAAATAAAATGTTTATTCCCTTTAACCCACAATTCCACTTGCAGGAACTGATTCTAAATATATCACTCAAGATGGACATATGGCTTCAAAGATGTTTTATTCAACTGGAAACAATATAAATGTTCAACAATAGGTATAATAAAAACATGAAATACAACTGAACTTTTCAAAAGAATAAGTAAGATTTATACGTTCTCACATGAAGAGACATCCATTCATACACTGCAGCCATAACAAACTCCTCACCATTCACTAGGCTCTGCCCTTGCCTGCACGATCACGAAGTACCTGCTGTCGTGGTGTCTGCCTGGCACACTGCAGGATGAGCTGGACCTAAACTCTCTCCCCGGGGACTGCACTGGCAGCCTCCGTTGTACTCCTCAGTGCCTTGTTCGTCTCTCTTCTAGCTGACTAACCTATATTGTCCAGAAGTGTTTAAATGTTTCTATCCTCCTCCAATCCCAGAAGCTTCTGGAGGTCTGTCTCTTCCATGGACTTGAGCACCCTACATAGTTAGCACCCATTGTTATTTTCTCCCTCGTGGGTACCTATTTAGAAGAAGTCAGCCAACCTGTGCATCTCTCCCCTCTGCTACAACTACATCTCTCTGACCCTCACATTCCTACAGTCCCATTATTCTTCCATTTTCTTCGCTCCGACTGCTTATCCTTCCTGATCTAGCCAAGATCATGGACTAAGAATGTGATTATTCCACACTTCTCCTGCTCAATCCACCAGGCAAAACCCAAAACCTGGATTAATGTCTCCCTATCCATCTCTTCTTGCTCCTACACCAGGCAACTGAACACTGGTAAAGCAAAATAACCCAATTCTGCAGATGAAGACCTGAGTTCGTAGTGGGGCCAACTGCACCTGGGCACCAGCACTACCATAGATCCTTATCTTGTTTTTGCAGCCTGTCTTCTGTCCTCATCCTCTCCAAAAGCCTACTTGAGGCCCTGAAAGCTCCATTCTCAGTTGAGCTCCTGCACCTAGTTCATAGGAAAAGACACATTCTCAAATGTGCTCTCTCTCTACCTCCCCTGGAAGCTCTTCTGCCATCACATCCATGCTCATCTCCTTTCTCCAGCTCCCCCAGCCTCTTGGACACCCTTCATCATATGAAAGACCAATCCTGCTTCTAGCCCTTGTTGCCAAGTGCCCCCTTACCCATGACCCCTGAGCTCAGCTCTACTAGTGCCCACTTTCCACCTTCAGCCTCCCTCTCTACCGAGTTCTTCTGCTCAACCTATTAATACATACTTGCAAGTTCCTGTCGGCCCCCTCTTTTTTCCTCAAAACAGAAGCCTGCTCCCACTGCCTTCATTTACTCCTCTGTGCAACAACAAATCAGCTCCTACCCCACAACTCGGCTGAAATAGCGCTCAGTGGGTCCACAATCAATACAAATCCAGTGGGCATTGGGGGGTCCATATATTATTGGACCTCACTGCTGCATCTGTTCACTCCCCTCTTCCTATAATTCCTTTGACTACAGACTCTCCTGGGTCTCCTTCCCTTCTTTGGAGGCTCATCCTCTGGGTCCTTCAGAAGCTCCTCTGACTTAAATGTTTAGGATCAAAGCCCCTGGTAATCAGCGCCCAGTTCACAACTCTGCCTTTCAATTCATGCGCCAGAAACTACTGCTTCTGGTCAGACCGGACTGTTTCTCTCCTGCACTCCGTCTCTCACGCAGCAGGCTCTCCCCTTGGCACAGAATGCCCTCCCTTGGGGACCGCCTCCCCTGCTGCCTCCTCCCAGGCTGGCTCAGATCAACCCTTCTAAGTTCCCAAAGTCCCTGGTATGCCCCTCTACCCTTTCACGCGGAAGGTCTTTCCCGAACATCTCGGCCACTCCCACGGGGCCGGGAGCACCTCCAGGGCAGGGCTGCCCGACTCCTTCGAGGCCCCTCTCCGGGCCTGGCACAGAAAAGGCAGTCAGGCCCCGCCGGTGTGGCTCGTGGTTGAGCATGGACCCACGCACCAAGTGGTGGCCGGTTCGATTCCCGGTCAGAGCACATGCCCAGGTTGTGGGCCCGATCCCCGGTGGGGGGCATGCAGGAGGCGGCCAGTCGATGTTCTCTCTCGTCGATGTTTCTCTCTCTCCCCCGCTCCCTTCCTCTCTCTCTCTCTAAAATCAATAAAGAAAAATATTTTTTAAAAAAAAGGAAGAAGAAAAAGAAAAGGCAGTCAGGTTTGTTGTAGAAACAAATGAAAGAGGGTGAGAGACGCCTGGGGAAAACTGTGCTCGCAGAGCCCGGGGCCGAGAGCAAGGAAAGGCCTGGCCGCGCGGCCACTCACCGATGAGGATGGCGCTGTCCAGGTTTCGGAGCTGGGCCAACAGCTGCCCGCGCGCCTGGAAGATGGGCAGGCTCCGGCGCTGCAGCTCCACAGCCTCGGGGTAGGGGCTGGCTGAGGGCTGGGCCAGGGGCGGCTGCCGCCGCCGGCCGCCTCCGCCGCCGCCGCCGCCTGCACCCAGCAGCATGACCACTCGCCTCGCGGGAGGGTAGGACCCGGCGTGGCTCGGGGGCCCAGAGCCCTGCCGGAATCTCTTAGCTGAAGGGAAGCCCGCCTCCTCGGGCATGTCGGGAGAGCGCAGCGACGGCGGCGCGAGGGCGGGCGGCTCCTGCAGCTCCCGGGAGCACACGGCTGGCACGCGCCGCCCCTTCCCGCCACGTGCTAGTGGCTCCCGGCGACCACCGAAGACCTCACGGCCTCCCCTGGCCCTTAGGAAAGGGACTACAACTCCCAGCATGCGCTGGGAGCTAGGGAAGGCTTCTACTTCCTGAAGGCCGGGAGAGCACCGTCGGAGGTGCAACAGGAAAAAGGTCTGGAGTGACAACAGTGAAAGACGGGGTATACCGTTCCACGGGACCTTAACCTTAAGCGATCGCCCAGTTTTAGTGTACTGGTACTGCACATGTGTTTCCCTTTCTCTGCCCACAATAATACTCGCTTTTCACGGAAAAGTGCTTAATTTTTTTTTTAAATCAACTAGGAATACACAAATAGTTGCATTATCGAATCCTCTAAACAATGTATATTATTATATAGTAGATATTATCCCCAATTTACAGATGAAGAAACTGAGCCTCTAAGATCGAGGTCATTCATTCGTCACAAAATCAGAATGTTGAAAAGAGTATTCGTGATCATCGTGCGTTGCAGAAGAGGAAAGCGTTGTATGATGTAGTCTCTAATAATCATATGTTCTTCTTGGAAAACGACTATCCGATGGAGTGGTCTGCTCTTGTAACACAAGCAGGGAAGAGGGAGTTTAATGGAACAATTGTCTTACCCTTCTTTCCCCCAAATATTCCTACAGTGCTTCCCAACCCCCATAACACAAACAGCAATCAATGAAGATTCAGAACTCCAGCAGGGAAACGAGGTTAAAACTAGTTTTTACCTCCCCTTCTAAATTCAAAGCTCTTGGATGATTTTCTAATTCGCCACAAAAAGACTGGCAAAAGGACCCCTTTGCTCTGTATACAGGAAATTATTTACAAAGAATTGGCCATAAGTTTCAACCTACATTAAGGACTTCCTGCATTCCTCTTAAGTTCATTTCCATGAAACACATTATTTATGAACCTGTTAAAAATTCTCCTTCCGCCCTGGGCAGTTTGGCTCAGCGATTGAGTGTCCTGTGGACCAGAGAGTCCAGGATTCAGTTTCCGCTAGGGGCCTGTACCACAAAAAAAAAATCCTCCTTCCCCTTTCCTTCAGGTCTGAGGCCATTTTTCTCTAGTGGCTGACAGTATAGTGACCAGGGGTTACTGAAAAATGTACATTTTGAACTAATAGCAGATATGTGCTTAAAAATAAATTGACAGCTCTGGCCAGTTTGGTTCAGTGATTAGAGTATCAGCCTTTGGACAGAAGGGTCTTGGGTTTGATTCCCAGGTCAAGGGCACATAGCTGGGTTGCAGGTTTGATCCCCTCACATCGGTCGGTCTCTCTCTCTCTCTCTCTTTCTCTCTCTCTCTCTCTCTCTCCCCCTCTCCCCCTTCCTGCCACTATAGCTTAAAAAAAAAAAACAACAATGGAAAAATATCTTCAGGTGAGGATTAACCCCCCTCACTCCCCCAAAAAAACAATTGACAAAATTTCACTTCTTACCCTTAAATATTTAGAAAGGCAATTCAAAACTAAGAGAAAAAATAACTGTGCTGGTCTGTTCTGGTTGTTGTAACACCACAGACTAGGTAGCTTACAAACAACAGAAAATTATTGCTCAGTTCTGGAGGTTGGGAATTCTAAGATCAAAGTGTCAGTATGGTTGCCTTTGGGTGAGGGCCCTCTTCCTGGTTCATTGCTGCTGCTTTCTTGCTGTGCACTCCCGTAAGGGAAGTGGGTTGAGATCTCTCTGGAGACTTTTTATAAGGCATCAACCCCATTAATGAGAAATCTACCTCATGATTTATAGCATCTTCCAAAGGCCCCACCTTCTAATACCATCACATCAGGCATTAGTATTTCAACATATGAATGGGGCAGCACAAATATTCAGACCATAGCAATAACTAAATGTTAACTCAAATTATAGACCTTGGGTATGTAAAACAGACCTCAGTCCTTTCTACCAGTGTGCTTTCCAGAGTAAGCTAATGAAGGAGACATGCTCTAAATGATTATGAGTGAAGTAATCTCTTGGTAGAGAACAGCCACTAGTCACCTCTAGGAAACAGCTACTGTGCAGGTTGAGTATTGCCAGATCTTTCAAATTTTTTCAAGGAAAGTAATAAAATGAAAATTTCCATGTGAAATCTGTACATTTTAAAGGTTGGCTCAAATATTTTTTAATTGGTGCAGACAAAATAAACCAATATATAGACAATTCATCCATAACCTCTGGCCTAATAATCCAGCTATTCTGAAACCTCAGAGTTAAAAAACTAAAATCCTATAAAGACATCCAGCGGTGTTACACACATTCCCTCCCCTACCCCCTGATATTAGGAGTCTGAAATCTGCAGCCCTTCAAAAGAAAAGTCTTGTGGTTAAATAGCTTTCATATGCAGGTGATCACAAGCCAACAAGTACTCAAAGAATATTTGGACTCTTCTTCCAAAAAGTGAATTGTTAAACACATATCATTCTTAACTGCTTGGGGATGGTTTGTGGACTTCACTGTCTGTTCTCACCATGCTCATACCACCTGATGGTCACTATTGCTGGCTTGTCTGACCACCAAACCACTGTCCTTAATCATGTTTGGTTCTGCTCCATCCTGCCTCGAGATCATAAGCCTCAACCACTATGTAGAAGTTTATACGCACATATACTAAGCCCTCTTTAATAAAAAATACCAGATAATAGTTTGCTGATCAATAAACAAAGTGTTTATTCAGCACCCATGTGCCAAGCACTGTGCTAGGCACTGTGGCAGATACAAAAATTTAAGACATGGTCCCTGCCCTTAAGGAGCTTACATTCTCATGAGGGAGACAAAACTAATATACATGTACCAGCTAGAAACAGTACAAGACAGTATATAATTTGGTCTAAGAGTATGTCATACAGACTTGAAGCTTTACAGGGATTCAAAGAAGAAAGACAATGAAATGAGCCTTTGAGTCAAGATTTTCTTGAGGAGGCAGGAAAAGGGGTCAGGCCTTGAAGGACTGATGAGACAAACTGAAGTCCCTGTTAGGTAGAAGTGGGAGTAAGGTTCAGAGGAAGACAAAAAGTATGCGCTTGATATGGGGGTTAAGAAGTCACTATGGATTTCTGAGCAGAGAAGTGACTTGATCATAAAAAGTTCAGCAGCTTTAATGCAAATTTATATAATATGCAAATAGCTTAGGGGACATCCTACAGGACACTGGAAACAATGGCATCTTGTGAATACAACACAGATGGCACTCACCTGTCAAAGGAAAACACAGCCACAACAAAAGGCAGGCTATCAAGGATAGATAACAATTCTAGGAAGCCCCTTATCCCACATGCCAATAGCTCCAATATTTCCTTGGATCCCAGAGATAGGGTGAGGGTTTCATTACCCAAATCCAACACTTGGATGTTCTGCTTAGAGACTACACAAGAGGTATGAAAGATTAGGACATGTAAGAGCAACACAGAAGAACAAGTGGAAGGGAGAAACAAATAGAAATCCACAGTAAACACACATACACCGAAATGTATATAAAATGTTATCTCCTAGGGAGATGCAACTGGCACGTCCAGTTTTTTTAAATGAACGTATATTTTATTTATACAACAACAAAAAACTATGCCCTAGTCAGGTGTGCTTTTCAGTATTACTGGTAGAATCCAGGAATCTCTTCAATTATATCAGGTAACTTGGTCACAAAATTCCATATACTGAATCACATTTTTCAGTTGATTTATATTATGAAAAAGAAGGGTGTTCTGGAAGAATCGGGACTGAAAGATAAGTTGGAGAAGGGGTGAGGACTTTCCTTATGTTCAGGTAAGCCCACGTCAACTGTTAAGCAACATCGTGCTAGGGGTGGTGGTAGTGTCCATATTAGTCTCCTCTTACCAAACTGGTAAGAGGTCAGTGACTAAAACGACACTGCCCAGGGCACAGTGGAGTAGCACAGCATGGCATCCTGCCACTAGGAATTCTCATCCCACCAGAGAAATCAAAATCCCATAAATGACTGTGTGTAGGCCATAAATTCAAAGTTGGTTTCCTGTTCTACCCAGTCATTAATATGTACAGACATTCCCTACTCAAATAAACAGTCAGTAAATAGATTTTAGGATTAAAATTTTACCACCAGAATTCCATGAAATGGATAACTCAAAGTTAACTAAGGGAGAACAAAAAAAACTAGAGAAACCCTTTTCTAGCCCCCAAATAATTTTCTTTCTTTCTTGATTTTAGAGAGAGGGAGAGGGAGAGAGAGATAGAAACATTGAGGAGAGAGAACATCGCCTGGCTGCCTCCTGCATGTCCCCCATTGGGGATTGGACACACAACCCGGGTATATGTCCTGACCAGGAATCGAACCAGCAACCTCTTGGTGCATGGGTCGATGCTCAACCACTGAGCCACACCAGCCAGGCTCCCCTAAAATAATTTTTAAAAATACCCTTCGAATTAAATTCAAGCTTTCTTGAACAATAAGACATGTCAATTTAAGAATCCTGTAAGGATTATGTATTCCAAGATTGGCATTTAAAGATTTGTTTACCACTTAGGAAAAAAAGCAGTCCCATTAACCCACATTCTATAAAACTGCAACAATCATATTCAAAGTTACTGACTAGCAGCATGTAAAATATTTAAGTTCCATTCCGTATGCATATTCAATTTAAATATATTAAAATACTATTCACTTCACATCCAAAAACTCCCATTTAGGATGTTTATTATATTTAATCTAAAGCTTCACCTCTGAGGGAAATCTCACTCTACATAAAGCTACCATTTAACCAGTCTGTAACTACTTAGGTAAAGGTTCCGTGTCTACATGCTGTGTATTAAAAATATTTGAGCCCAGCTAGTGTGGCTCAGTGGATTGAGCACCATCCCATAGACTGAGAGGTCCTGGTTTGATTCCCAGTCAGGGCACGTGTCCAAGTTTCGGGGTTGATCCCCAGTAGGAGGTGTGCAGGAGGCAGCCAATGGATGTTTCTCTTTCACACAATGTTTCTCTCTCTCTCTCCCTCTCTCTAAAAAATCAACAACATAAAACATATATATGTATATATATATGAAATGAAACAATCTCTTTTCTGGGAGTGTCCATATTAGTCTCCTGGGTCCTCTGAATTACTTAGGCACATGATACAAACCTGCTGAGACCCAGGAAAGTGAATATTTTGGATAAGTATTTATTGCACCACAGGCATTAAGTCCCTATTTCTGTGGAACCAGTCCAATTTCTACCTGATTGGGAAAGTAAAAAACCAGGTACTTGGCTCTGAAAAGCTTCTTAGCTTTTCATGAAGCAAATGACAAATGTTAACCCACCAAAGACCCAGGAGAAATGTATCCCTGCCTATCTGGTACCTGTTCATCTGGCTTCAAAGTCAACACTGTAACTTGATTTCCAGGTCTAAAGATCTGTTGTTTTACAAAAAGGTGGCCATGACCTGTCTTTGCCTGGATTTCTTAATGGAGAAATGCAGCAGAGTTGATGCCACATTAACTTCCTGCCTTTAGCTGGACTCTCCTATAGCTGAATTCCTGCTGCTGTAGGAACCACCCTACCATCCTGGCTGGTGTGGCTCAGTTGGTTGGAATGACATCCCATGCACTGAAGGGTCGTGGGTTTGATTCTTGGTCAGGGCACATACCTAGGTTGTGGGTTCAATCCCTGTCAGGGTGCGTACGGAGGCTACTGATAGATGTTTCTCTCTCGCATCAATGTTTCTCTCTCTTTTCCTTTCTATAATCAATGAAAAATATATCCTTGGGGGAGAATTAAAAAAAGAACCACGCTACCCAAGTCACTTCACAACTTGAAGTTTTGTATCTCCCCGACGAGAACAAACTATCTGGACAACAGAAACAAATCTTCCTACTTGGAGCAGGCATTCTGACTTAGTTAAGACGCATACACAGCCATCGTGTATCAGCCGCGTATGTCCAATCTTGAAATGAAATCCGGTCGAAAGCTGTGGAGACACAGGAAGAACGGGCATATAAACTGCTCCGAGCTCAGATCTATGCAGGCGAGCTGGAATACATTATCATAATTTAAAAGATCACACACAAAAGCTTTAATTCAGTGAGAGAGAGATGGAATTCAGTTTTATTTTGTCCTCTCTTTAACTTCCATTTACATCAAGGCCCCGCCTATCAGAGGAGGAGGAAAAAGCTCTGCCTCGCACCGAGAACTCAGGTACTCGTGCGCTTGTTCGCTAGAGATGGCAGGGTATTTGTTTCTCCAGTTTTTTGGCTCCAAGAGATTACACTTTCAGTGCCAGTGCCTTGAGGATCCACTGGCAAACTGCTGGAAATGTCTTCCGGATTAATCAGTGTACCATTTCATAAAGTGCTTCTGGAGTTCAAACCTGTCAAGCTGTCAAAAGTGTCCACACTTTTGCAACACAAAGGATAAAAGAATCCCAATGGGTATGTCATGAGTCCTTCCCAGCTGGGTCTCATTATTGGCACTGCTGCTTTACCCGCCGAGGCGCTGGCCCTCACCCCAGGCGAAGCCTCCTGGCCGCTCTTCAGGTAGTGGATTATAATTTGGATCCTCATCTGGTGTATCAAAAATAGCTTTCCTAAAAGACAGGAAACCAATATAATTTAGTTCCAGAGTCATCTCAGGTCCTAAATACTGCAAGGTCAAAAAGATTCCCATTGGGTTTCCACTAATGGACAAGCATTATATCTGAATTATCAATGAAAAAGTTATCATATTTTGAAGTTATTCATAATTATTTCATATTTACATTAGCTTTTACCTCCTTTACTATTTTTTTTTTAGAGAGGAAGGGAGGAGAGAAAGAGAGAAACATCAATTGGTCATCTCCCATATACACCCTGACCAGGGACTGAACCACAACCTGGGTATGTGCCCTGACCAAGAATCGATCCAGCAGCCATTCTGTGCATGGGAAGGCTCAACCAAATGAGACACATTGGCCAGGGTCTCCTTTACTACTTTTTAATACAAAAGCAATACATATAGAGAAAACATATGAGTAAAACATCCAAAATTCCCAGAAATAATCATTGTTGACGTATTTATTATTTTTCCAGAACTCTGATATATGTAGTTTCACAAATGTTAGAACACACTACTTCTGTTTTATAATCTGATTTTCACTAAATCAATCATGGATGTCTCCTCACAACCACTGACAGATAAATAGATAAACAAAATGCTATATACATGCAATAGTATATTATTCAGCCTTTTTTTTTTTTTTGGTACATGCCCCTAGCAGAAACCGAACCCAGGACTCTCTGGTCCGCAGGCCAACACTCCAACTGCTGAGGCAAATCGGCCAGGGCTATTATTCAGCCTTAAAAAGAAAGGAAATTCTGACACACGCTGCAATGTGGATGAACGCTACCCTGAGAACATTATGCTAAGTGAAGTAAGCTGGTCACAAAAGGACCAATACTGCATGATTCCACCTATGTGAGGAACCTAGAGCAGTCAAACTCATACAAAGTAGAATGGTGGTTGTGAAAAGCTAGGGGGAAAAGAGGATGGGGAGCTATTATTTGATGGATAGAGTTTTAGTTTTGCAATATGAAAAGAGTTCTATGGATTAATAATGGTGATAGCAGCACAATATGGATGTGCTTAATGTCACTAAACTGTACCCTTCAAGTATATTAAGATGATAAATTCTGTTATGTGTATTTAACCACAAAAGTTTAAAGAAATTAATAAGTTATTCAAAGAAAAATTATGCAGAGCATGAGGAGGAACACTAAATGTCCAAGAACTTTAAAAATACTACTATGGCCCTAGCCGGTTTGGCTTAGTGGTTAGAGCATCGGCCTGAGGACCAAAGAGTCGCAGGTTCAATTCTGGCCAAGGGCACACACCTCGGTAGTGGTTCATCCCCAGCCCTGGTCAGGGTCTTGTGGGAGGCAACCAGTAAATGTGTCCCTCTCACATCAATGTTTCTCTCTCTCTCTCCTTCCATCTCACTCTATCTGAAGATAAATACAAAAATATCCTTGGATGAGAATACAAAAAAAAAACAACCCTAATATGTGGTCATTCACAATCTCCCTAAAGAATTAAGCATTAAAGCAGCATCTTCTACTTTCATTCATATTTCTAATAAGTACGTACTTGCCCACAGTTGATAAAGTTAGAAATGTTTCTGAAAACTTCTATTTTATATTGGGTCAGGAAAAGCATCTGTATTTCAATACGAGCAACTTTAACTCCTACAAACTAACAATAAAAACAGGAGCATTTGAGATCTTGCTTCCCAGCATGTCATCAATTTGGCTCAAATAAACTCTTACAAAAATTCTCCACAGGTTTACAGTTCCAACATTAACACAACACACTTACCCCATCCTCTTACCCAATAAACACACCCAAGATGTACCCCAGTGACCTTTATCACAACCTGTTTAAAACTTGTCCCCCCTCGCACACTGTACAACCCCCTTCAGTGCTCACAGCCCAAAAGCAAGGAGGCTGGGCAATGGTTCAAGGCTGCAGTTTACTTTGGCATGGGTGTACTATGAGAGGCCCACAGAGAAGAGACCATCATAAATCCATTTCCATGCTCTGTTTAAAACCTTTTTTTTCTTTATAGATTTTAGAGAGAGAGGAAGAGAGAGGGAGAGATGACAGAAACATCGATGAGAGAGAACATCGACTGGCCACCTCCTGCATGCCCCCCACTGGGGATTTGGCCCACAACCTGGGCATGTGCCCTGACCGGGAATCGAACCGGCAACCTCTGGATGCATGGGTCGACGCTCAACCACTGTGTTTAAAACCTTTTAATGGGATTTGTACCAAGACACCCCTGGCCCCAGCACTCCTTCAAACATGGTGCTCCCAGGACTGGGAGTCTGAAGGCAGTGGCCTGCATCCTCTGCGCCATCTTGGCATCTGGCACACCCTGCATGTAGTCCTGGGGCCCGAGGGAGGGCACTGTTGGGACACTGAGCACTGGCCCCAATAGGCTCTCAGTGCACAAATTCAAAGAAAAACATGAATGGGTAACAACAGAAAAATGGTATTGGAACAGTGGCAATCAGCAATTCTGCCCAGAAAGCTTTGGGAGATGTTTATTGTAGTATGCCTGAAGTTGGGACAAAATTGAACAAACAAGATGAGTGTCTGGTGCTTTGGCAAGTGTGAAAGCTGCTAGTGAACTCTATTCTCCTCTATCAGGAGAAGTAACTAATATTAATGAAGCACTTGCAGAAAATCCAGGATTTGTCAACAAACCTTGTTATGAGGATGGTTGGCTGATCAGTATAACACTCAGTAACCCTTCAGAACTAGATGAACTAATGAGTGAAGAAGCATATGAGAACATCACACACACACACCCCCAACAGAAAAATATAGGGCTAGTCAGGCAATTCAAAAAGAAATCCAAATGGTTAATAATCATGAAGATGTTTGCTCTCACAATAATTAAAGGAAAGCATGTTAAAAACTAAGACCCCCTTCTGGTTCGATCCTGGGTTTCGGCACCAAAAAACCAAAAAAAAAAAAAAAAAACTAAGACCCCCTTCTTTTTTTTTTAATCCTCACCCGAGGACATTTTTCCATTTTTTGTTCAGATAGAGCGGGAGTGAGAGAGAGGAAGGGAGAGAGAGAAAGAAATATCAACGTGAAAGGGACACATCGAGTGGCTGCCACCCGCACAACCAACCAGGGCCGGTGACAAACTGCAACCAAGGTACATGCCCTTAGCGGGAACTGAACCCGGGTCTCTCTGGACCACAGGCCAACGCTCTAACTGCTCAGCCAAACCGGCCAGGGCAAAGACCCCTTCTACTTCCCAAACATTAGGTGGCAGAACAAAGTAGGTGTCCATGCAAGGGAGCGGAGCAGCCTGGCTTACAGAATCAAGAGCCCCATTGGGGCACACACACGTGGAAGTGCACTGGCTGGTGTAGCACGCCAGAACCTGAAGAGGGTTAGGAGGGCATCCCCACAAGAGGACAGACTCATCTGGGGAATCTGAGGCAGAGTAGGATGAGCAAGGCATCCACATAGGGGAGGGGATACAGTGATGAGATTGATTACACATGAGAGTGGTAATTAACTAGGTAAGTTAATTGATGATAATAGGAATCAGGTTTCTCACAGCTAGTGAGACTAGAGAAAAAGACATACAACAAAATAGATGGATTTCAAAGACACGTTGAACAAAAGAGGCCTTACACAAAGGAGTACAACCTTCTGGGTAATAGTAATTTTCTTTATCTTGATAAGAGTTTGGGTTACATAGCTATGTCAATTCATGAAAACTCATCAATTGGCACACTTGAGATTCATGTATGCTGTATATAAAGAACTCTAGTTAATGATATACATAGTCAAGTATTTAGAGAATTAAGTATACTGGAATGAAAAGATGGAGGGATAGACAGATGTACAAAAAGCATGAATAATAAAGTATTAATTGTAGACTCTATGTGGTGAGTAAACAATATTCACTGTATAATTTTTCCCACTTTTCTATAAGTTTAGAAGCTTACATAATAAAATATTGGAGGAAAAATATAGAAAGAAAAAAATTAGAATGAATCATGTGGAGTTGTACTACAACTGGAGTATCGGTATAAACCCAGGTTTTAAAAAACGTAGATCTAAAAAATATAGTATGTAATACTCATATGCATATGTATAATTCCCTTGCTCTGTTCACTGAGAGAATAACAACACTCCAAAAGCAATGAGCACACCCAAATCCTGGCTTCTAAACACCATTCTCCATTAAAAAGGAACTAGAGCTCCTTGAAGAAATAGCTGATTCTAGGACTGGGTCAAGGAGAGCACAGGATGAGCCTGGGATATCTGTTGGGCCAGAAAGTAATAAATCACTAACAACAAAAAGATGGGACCATGCCCTGGCCGGTTTGGCTCAGCGGTTGGAGCGTCCGCCTGCGGTCCGGAGAGACCCGGGTTCGGTTCCCGCTAAGAGCATGTACCTCGGTTGCAGTTTGTCCCTGGCCCTGGTTGGTTGCGCGGGTGGCGGCCACTCGATGTGTCCCTTCACGTCGATGTTTCCCTCTCTCTCTCTTCCTCTCTCTCCCTCCCACTCTATCTGTACAAAAAATGGAAAAATGTCCTCGGATGAGGATAAAAAAAAAAAAAAGATGGGACCATGATGTAAATATTCAGAAGCCAGTTTGAAGGGGTTGCCATTGGCCAAATCTAGGACACTATGAGCATCAAAATAAACAATAATAAGGGATTATAATCCATGAATAAAACATGAAACCATGAATTCATGCAGATAAAAATGAATAGAGCCCTGGATGGTTTGGCTTAGCGATTGGAGCAATGGCCTTCAGACCAAAGGGTAGAGGGTTTGATTCCTGGCACATACCTGGGTTGCAGGTTCAATCCCCAGACCCAGGTCAGGGTCATGAGGAAGGCAACTAATTGATGTGTCTCTCTCACACTGATATTTCTCTGTTTCTCTCTCTCTCTCTTCCCCTCCCTCCCTCCCTTCCACTCTATCTAAAAATCAATAGAAAAATATCCTCAGGTGAGGATTAACAATTAAAAAAAAAAAAGATTTATAAGGAAAAGGATATTTACATAGCTTAAAGTACCTTCCCATAAAATAATTACAAAAGGGAAAAGAGTAACTTCACAGTGGAGAAGCCTCACTGACACTTTAAACAAGTAATCAGTGCTTACTACCACTCTGACAAATTCAGCAAACTGAAATCCTGTCCTAGCAGGCTGCCATGAGAAAAATGCATTGTCACGTCTCTGATATTCCTGCCAAAAATGCAAAACCTGAACCTAAATGTGAGAGAACATTAGACAAACCCAAATTGAGAGACATTCCACAAAATGGGTCTATAATCTTCACAAATGTCAATGTCATGAAAGTCAAGGAGATTGAGGAGCTGTCTCAAACGGAACAAGACCAGTGAGACATAACTAAATGTCACCCTGACGCTGAACTGGATTCTTTTGCTATAAAGAACATATTAGGACAATTTCCAAGTGTGAAATTGGGTTTGAGGAATTTGATTTTAATGTAGAAGAATGTCCCTGTTTATAGAAAATACAATTAAAGGGGGTCATGGAGCATTAGATCAACAATTTTCAAACACCTAAGGGGAAAAAGTCTTTGTACACCATTTTATGGCTATCAAACTAGGAAAGAGTAAATACAGCACCTCCCATGTTTGATGAGGATGTGGGGAAACGGACACTTAAATGTTGCTGGTAGAATGTAAACCTGAACATCCTGTCTGGATGACAATCTAGCAATAAACAATTTTTAAAGAAATTCAACCTTTAAAAATAATCATGGATATGTGCAAAGATTTAGCTACAGGGACATTCACCACTCCAATTACAGAAGGGAAAAGCAACAACTAATGTCAATGTCCACCAATAAGAGATTAGTAAAATTATGTTATATTCATACCATGTGTATCATGTAGCTATCATAATTTTGTAGAATAGTTGTGAAGGAAAATAACTATGATATATTACTTATAAAAGGTTATGAAAAGCATTTTTAAAAAGTACACAATGAAAGACTAAAGAACACATACCAAAAAGTTAATAATGTTATATCTAAGTGGTGGGGTTATAGAGGATTTTACTTTATTTGTTTTAACTATTCTATAACCAACATTTTATAATAAAAACTCCCATTTTACTCAAGGGAACCCTTTTTAGTGTAGTATATCCCAAAGACACAAAACTCTGGAGTAGAAAGAGGTCACGAAAGCTCTATACCCAGAAAAAATTAAGTGTAAAAAAGAAGGGACTTGCTTAAAATTACATGGCTGGTCGGTGAAACAGCTGATACCTGGTTTCCAGCCCAAAGCTATTTCCACTCTAATGCTTATCTCTACATCTGTTTGGAAGACCAGACATTCCACCATTAAAAACTTTCCTCTAGCCCTGGCCAGGCAGCTCAGTTGCTTCGAGTGTCATCCGATACATCAAGGTTTTGGGTTTGATCCCAGTCAGAGCACATACAAGAATCAACCAATGAATGTATTAATAAGTAGAACAACAAAAATTGATGTGTTTCTCTCTCTAAAACCATTAAAAAACCCCAAACAAACAAACAAAAAATAAAAACTTCCCTTTGTCAGTTTTGCCCATTTTGCTACCTCACCTCTCTAAACTCAGCAACTTTCGTAAGACCCGCAGGCTCCTCTCTGGAGCAGGGGGTGCTAGTGGTCATTCGGGACAGCAGCTAACAAGTCAGCTTCAGGGCACCTGGAGCCTGTGAGCCTCCCTGTTGCCACCAGTCTGGCACTGTTTGCTCCTACCCGACACGAATGCTCCTCAACTGCAGCCAGACAGCTCAGTCTGCAAATATTTACTGACCTGAACACTGATCACGGACCCTGTCTCGGTTTATCTGCAAAGACACACGTAACCTGGTGTTAAATACTCACAAAATAGAAGGTGTCTTCAGAATTCTTATTCCACCAGGCTGAATGGGAAATACATCTTCCAAGAAAAAATATATGTGTCCGACTGCAATACCTAAAGTTAACCAGAAATAAAGGAGGAAGGAGAGGATTACAATTTCGATTGCAGGTGAATCTACCAACATAAATTCCTTATATTTAGGAAAAAATATCAATATAATTAGTAAGAATTAGAAAACTACTATAATCTTTCAGCATATAACTACCAAATAATCCTATAATAACTATTATGTGAAGGTCAAACAGAATAAACATGAAAAATAGTGACAAAGTAAGTTTATAAGTAAAATAATAGAAAATGTAGTGAGAAGACTCTTACCCAAGAGATCCACAATGATTGAGTTCCCCAACAACAAGGAAAAGCCCATGAGCACCCAGGGCAGAAAGGGGGCCTGGAAATTGAGAAGGCCGAAGAAGTTCATGCGGACATATGGGTTCCTTCGGCTCCACACGTAGACAAGCATTATTGTAAAGGCCTGGCCCAGGAAAACTAAGCTCACAAACAAACCAAAGATCTAGCAGATGGCATTAAGGAAAATATCAACACTAAAAGTGTATTAGGGAGGACTGGGCAAGAGAACAAAGAATTGTGTTCTAACAACGTTTGAATTAGGAAAGCTGAGCATTAGTTACTTACATCTTTAGAAGAAAAAGGCCTGAAAATAATTCCCCAGAGTAATCAGGCAAAAACCTGCTTAGGCCAAATCATCTGGATTTCCAAGTGCTATTCTATTTTCATGAAGTTCTTGCCTTTTTGGAAAATGTATTCATTATTTGGTCAATAATTGTATTCAAGTTCACTCACCATTAGCACCTTTATAGAGGCGAATAAAGCCAGCTGGAGCAAAACCATCTCGTCAGACAGGACTACATTCAAGTCTGTTATTCGGTTGACAATTCTTTTTTTAAAAAAAATCATTTATCAGTTTTGTAAGTAACCAAATAAATGTCTCACCAACTTAATTCAAAAAGTGAAGTATACCATGACCAATAATATATCTAAAATATGCAATAATGCACCTGGGTTAGAAGTTCCTCTGACTGGCTCACAGTAGAAAAGCATCCTGTCTAACCTCTAGGATTAGAAAGCTGTCACATAAAATGTGCCCATAAAATAAATAGTAGCACCCTAAAGCTAAAATCTGGAGGTCTATCTGTTTGTTCAGAGTATCCAGTGAATTGTGGGGGACAGATGAAAAACTTCAGGACGAGAGAGGGTATTAACATTTTCCTGGGTTTGTTCTATTTGTTGAAGGATACAGTCATTAAGAATCCACCAAAAAGGAACATAAATACAAAGTCTGCTGTCCGGCCTCGGAAAGAGCCTTCTTCTAGCATTCGACAGTAACGATATCTTAAGTTCCAAGTTAAGAAAATGTTAAGCACACAAACATGAAGAAAGTAAAATTTAATGTATCACTTAAGTACACCTGGACTCCACATTTGTAAGTCAAGCCTTTTTTTTATAAGAATGTTGGAGTGGTAGTATGGTTACTTCTCTTTACATTTTAGGCAACTATGTATTTTACAAAAACGGTTCCTAATTGGGGAACTAAGCCAGATGCTGGATAAATATGCTTCCAGTCACCTATTAAACTTTTCAAATTTGTATCATCTTTTCAATGTTCAGCCACACCATAATCTGCATCACCCTTGCTTTTTCACAACATAACTTGGTGGAAATTCCCATCAAGAAGCCTTGTGTGATAATCTACTTCTTCAGGCCAGACAGAGTAAGCATTTCTATACCTCAGTCAATAAAGTATCACTATGATGAACAAATTTAATTCTTAGAAACTTAGCAGAATAATATGCCTATAGGAGACAACAGGATTTCACTCTAGGCCAGGAATCCTGTCACCCCTACATGGCTCTGACTACTGCAGATGAGGTGAGCTTTACGTGTCCTCTCACCAGAGGGTTAGAGTAGAGGAGGAAGCTCTGCTCAGTGGGCCCCAATTACCATATGACCAGAGCACAACTCTTCCTGTCTCTCAACAAATTGGAACACGGCAAGCCTGACAGACATTATTGCACTGTCTTTTCAGCCAGTAGAACCAGCAACTAGGTACAAGGAGATCTCGTTTCCATTCCTCATAAACCCACTCCCAAACCAGTATCACAGCTCTGTGAATTATCACTGTATTCAGACTGTTTTACCACAAGGTTATCTGCTAATGTTATTTCGTAAGTATGCCTCAATCAAATCACCCCTCTCCCTTGATCAGATTTGCAAGTGACTTATGGGCAGGAATGTAATAATTTTATGGTTAAATACATCTTCTTTGAACCAACAAGCACCCTCAAAACATTACTATCTGACCAACTACTCTGTGCACCACTGAGCCAGTACCTAGAAGTTACAGCTAAGATGGTAAAAAAGTAAATAAATAAATAACAGGATTAATAGTTTCAACTTAATATTGTATTTCCTAAGTAAACAAAGTTTTTATGCTAACCCCACTTAAAGGATACAGAAATATCATGTTAAATAAAAAATTGAATCCAACTGGTCCAAAAAATAAGAAATTAGTGATTAGCCTCCATATCTGTTAAAAGAAAAAAAATAATGAGAAAGGTATATTAAGTAAAATATACCAGGAAACATTTCCATATTAAGACAAAAGAGATATTCTCTGACTACAATGGTTGAAAGGCCTTAGACAGGTGATACTATGTTCTGAACCAAAAAGTGGGGCACAAGCCCTGCCCAGTTTGGCTCAGCAGGTAGAGTGTCCGCCCATGGATCAAAAAGCTGCAGGTTCGATTCTGATCAAGGGGTTGCAGTTCTATCGATCCCCATCCCTGCTTGGGTCATGCGGGAGGCAACCAATCGATGTGTCTCTCTCATATTGATGTTTCTCTCTCCCCCCCCCCCCCGCCCCTCCCTCCCGCCACTCTGTCTGAAGATAAATGGAAAAGAATATCCTTGGGTGAGGATTAAAAAACAAAAAAAGTGGGGCACAAAATCTGATACCAGATTTTGTGCTGCTTCTACTTCAAAGTCTGAATTAATGTCACTCAGCCCCTGAAATTTGTAAGGATAATGGGACAGAAAACTTGAAACTGTGATTAAAAAAAAAACCCCACACCTGCATGCTCTCCCTCCCAAGCCTTTCCCATGCCCCTCTTCTTCCCCCCCTTTGCCTTTCTCTCTCCAAAGCTCCGACAGCCCTTCTTTTGCTTCTGTAACTTGTTTCCTGAGCACCCAGCTGGCTCACTTCTACTACCTCTGTAACTTTCTAAATAAACTTTCTCTTACAATTTGAAAAAAAACCATACCACATGGTCAGACAAATTATGGAAAAATGAGACTAATTTGCATAATAGAAAACAGTGCTTTCCTATATGTAATATCACATGAATAATCTAAATATATACTAAATATAATGAATAGTCTTGAGATACCAGAGAAAAACTCAAGGGATCTAATATAAATACTAAAAAATGTTTCTTTTTTTTTTTTATTTTTTATCCTCACCTGAGGATATTTTTCCATATTTTGTACAGATAGAGTGGGAGGGAGAGAGAGGAAGGGAGAGAGAGAGAGAAACATCGACATGAAGGGACACATCGAGTGGCTGCCATCAATATATAAATATAATGAATAGTCTTGAGATACCAGAGAAAAACTCAAGGGATCTAATATAAATACTAAAAAATGTTTCTATATTAAGTAGTCCAAAACACCCAGAATAAAGAGTAATTGTGAAGCAAATACTCAAGTTCTAGTCTGAACAAATAGCCAACTCCTGCCCTGGCCGGTAGCTCTGTTGGATAGAGCACCACCCCGATCTACCAAGGTTGTGGATTCAATCTCTGGTCAGGGCACATACAAGAAGCAACCAATGAACGCATAAATAAGAGGAACAATAAACCATTTCTCTTTCTCTCTCTAAAATCAATTTAAAAAAATAGCCCACTCCCTACAAGGCCTTATGCTCTAATAATCGGAGTTTAATTGGTAAATACTAAGGACACTCACTTTCTTGTTGGATATCCTGATAAACTCTTCCCTATCCAAAATGGTAGCACACTTAACATTCTAAAGCATTTTAACATATTCTATTACCTCATGTGATCTTAATCCTGTTGCTGCCATCCTTACTTCATAAACAAAAAAACTAAGAGACTTGAATATTTTTAAAACAGTTTGCCCAAGGACACACAAATTGTAAGGGGAGGCTCTGAACTCAAACCCAGAATTCCTAACTCCTAATGCAGATCCACGGTATCAAGAGCTTAAGCCCAGGCAAAATGAAGCCAAGCAAGTAGTAACTTGGAAGCAGTACTTGGATGGAGCTCCAGCTCCCAGGAAAGGCCTTGTGAGTATCAAAGGAAGAAGACAATGATAAGAGTCCTCAGTCCTGCTTTATGATTCATTAAATTCTTAAGAAATGGTAACTAATAAAGTTGAAATAATTCAGTTCTACATACTAGATTTTAGAGTCCTCAACCTAGCCTGGACACAAGCATATAAATAAATGCAAGTATAAGATGACAGATTATCTAAGGAAGCATTTACAGATACCCTAGGGACACAAGGGGCAATGAATCTGAGGTTACACAAAAACGATAGTCTTGAAAGGCAAGCTGGAGTTCAATGGATATAAAGTGAATGAAACACATTTGAAACAGAGGGAAAAGCATGTGCAGAGGCAGAATTACTGGTTTTTGGGTCTCTCTCCCACTCCAACTATAAGCCTACGTAAACATCCTGGAGCAGGAAAATATATCTATCTCTCTTTTAGCACTGTAATTACTGGAAAGGACTATCTCCCACTCAATGTAATAAACTGGCATATTGTTTAAGACGTTGGTCTTCTGGAGTTTTGTCAGTATGATCTGATCCCTGGAAGATGGATCTATTTATTTACTTATTTTTTATTTGATTTTATTTATTTTAGAAAGAGAGGAAGGGAGAGGGGAGAGATAGAAACATCGATTCTCCACCTCCTGCATGCCCCCACTGGGGATCAGGCCCAGAACCTGGGCATGTGCCCTGACCGGGAATCAAACCGGCAACCTCTTGGTGCATGGGTCGATGCTCAACCACTGAGTCATGCCAGCCGGGCTAGGATGGATATATTGAAAAATATTAATAGAGGAGCATCTGAGATCTTCCCCCCTGGCATATTCTGTCAGTTTGGCTTAAACTCATAAAAATTCAAAAATAAATAAGTAAAATAAACACACTAATAGAGCTGAGGTGCTCTCCGTCTTGGGGGCAACACCTATGCCTTTCCCTTCCCCTAATTCTTCCCCCCAGGCATGGTTACCTTTGCCTTTCTCTCCCCTAAGCATTAAGGGCCCTTCTTTTGCTTCTGTAACTTGTTTCCTGGGCCTACACAGCCCAGCTGGCTCACTTCTACCTCTTTAACTTTCTTTCTTTAAATTTTATTTATTTATTTATGTTAATTCTCACCCAAGGATACCTTTAGAGAGAGAAAGGGAGGGACAAACAGGGAGGGGGGAAAAGAGGGAGAGGAAGAGGGGGAGGGGGAGGGGGGGAGAGAGAGAGAGAGAGAGAGAGAGAGACAGACAGACAGAGAGACAGAGGGACAGAGAGACAGAAGACAGACACATTGATTGATTGCTTCCCCTGCACGCCCTGACTGGGGATTGAACCTTTTGGTGTACAGGACAATGCTCCAACCAACTGAACTATCCAGCCAAGGTTACTTATTGATTTTGAGAGGGAGAGAAAGAGAAACATAGATTTGTTGCTCCACTTATTTATGCATTCACTAGTCATTTCTTGTACGTGCCCCGACCAGAGATCAAACCCACAACCTTGGCGTATGGCGATGATGCTCTAATCAGTTGAGCTACCCGGCCAGGGCTTGTTAACTTTCTAAATAAACTTTCTCTTATAGAGCTGAGTTTCTGAACGTGCAGATAACACCAAGGTGGTGGGTGTGCCAGGTGGTAAGTCCATAAAATAAGGGCATCTTGTGAGATTCTCCCTGGGTAGCTACCTGGTCAGTCTCCTCTCAAATACAGTATTAACTCTCAACTGTTGATTCTTAAATATATGAACTAGACACATCAAATCAAAATCATACAGGGAACTTAAACATAAAAATTTTTAAAACCCAGATTCTTTTTGTTTTCTCTTCAATCCTCACCTAAGGATATTTTCCCATTGATTGTTAGACAGAGTGGGAGGGAGGGAGGGAGGGAGGGAGGGAGAGAGAGAGAAACATCAATGTGAGAGAGACACATCGATTGGTTGCTTCCTGCATGATCCCAACCAGGGCTGGGGATGGAACTGCAATGGAGGTACATGGCCCTGACTGGATCGAACTTGCAACTCTTTGATCTGTGGGCCAATGCTCTAATCGCTGAGCCAAATCGGCCAGGGCCAAACCCAGATTCTTAATTCCTACCCTTGGTTACTCTGATTTGGTACATGATGAAAAGCTTGAGAATCTCTTAAACATTTCCTAGGTGATTCTGAAGCACGATTAGGCTGCAGAATCACTGCTTTATACCCCCAACAATAAGACTTATAATCAAATATTCCCATTGAATTTTTTTTGAGGAAGCATATGGCAGAATTTCCTACTAAATAAGAAAAACAAATTTAAAAACCGAAACATCATGGCTGTGATGGACCACTTACTTGGAAGTGTTTAAAGATTAATTCAGGATTGAAGTACAGCTGAAAAGGTGTGATCAATTCCAACTGCTGAAATAGAAAAAGAGCTCCTTAAAGCAAATCAATCGGGAAACATTTCATCATCTACAATGAAGGATTAATAGGGCTAGCAATTTCCAACTCTCAGTCACTGAGACTGAATCCTTTAAGGCTGCAAGGAGAGGCTGGTAAAGAATACTCTAGAACTGGTACAATTCTTCGCCCAATACCTAACAGAATAAAAGTTTGTTTTATGTTGCAATAGTGGAGGCTGGCATGAAGGCATGGGATAGAGGTGGCGATATCTTAGATACAAGGCAAGGAGAGAGCAGGTGCTATGAACCTGCCCATCACATGGGCACCATCTGAAACACTTGGGTGAAGCCGCACAACTCACTGAAAGGAACTGAGACTCAAGACCTGTCACCGCCAGGGCTGGGTGCTTCCCGGCAACTTCTGTATCCACACTCTATTTATTTCAAAACTCTTCCCTCTGGACAACTTCCAGCTTTCTATCCTCAACATCTAAGTTTCTTCATAGGCGGACTTTCCCCCACGGGGCACCGCGGTCCCACTTCCCCGGCTAGAGTGCTCAGGCACGTTTTCTGGGTGGGCGGCTCCCGCTGCCCTAACTTGCTATCTCCCAGAAACTGGCCTGCAGTCCGGATCCTCCAGCCCTCCTGCAGCAGCACTCCCTTCTCAAGTCACTGGGTGAGCAGGCTCAAGGCAATTCCAACCCCAGACTGAGCCCTGTCCACCTCCACCGCCCGAGACCAAGCCTTCTGGGCTTCCCTGAGGCCCAAACCCCCGTTCCCCGAGGACCCGATCGTATCCAGCCCAGATCGTGAGAGCGGGCACTGCGGCTGCTCACCACAGCGGCGGTGGTGAGGACGCAGGCGGTGGTGTAGGCGCGGCTGACCGGTGGGATCTGCAGGTACTCCAGCCGGAGGCTCTGGTACGCCATCTTCCCCACCGCCGCCTGCCCCCCTTCCCCTTCCGCCAGTCAGCCCAAGCGGCGGGGCGGGATCAAAGAGGCCTCCCGTTACCCTGCCGCTGCTGTCCAATCGGCGCCGCGCAAGCTGCCAGCCACCAATCGCAAGAGCGCCTGGGAAAGCCACTCACCAATCATGAGTTGCGCCTCCGCGGAGACCCAGCCTTGCTTCCTCACCCACCCACGTCGCGGAGAACGGAGCAAGTACTGGTTCCTTTCGCCAATCCCCGCGGGCCACAAGCTCGCTGGCCCGCCCGGCCCCTTTCAGTCACCAATCTGGGTGGCCCGCTCCGCCCGCACAGCCAGCCAATCAGGAGCGCGACAGCGTCTCGCCTTTGCTGTCGTCAGCTGAGGCGGGCCGCGTTCGGGATTTTGGGGAGCTCTCCGCGCCGCCGATCTCTGGCAGCGGGAGTTGATTCAAAGGAGGTGGCGGGAAACCACTGTTGGGTCGAATTTGTCACCCCCATGGTCGCTTCGGTAGGTGCTGCGGGGCTGCGTTTTCTCAGAGCAGGAAAGGGAAGGAGTGGTAATGGGTCAGGCATCGTCGCGGGGCTCTGGAGCAGCCTCGCTGGCGGGGCCTCCCGCCTGAAGGTCCCGGCATGCAGCGGGGTCGCGGGGCCCGCCGGGAGCCGGTCCTCCGGCCGGAAGCAGCTTCTGCAGGGCGGTGTCTGCAGCTCTGCAGCCCTCCTGGTTGAGGTCTTCTGGCCGCTTCCGGTGTTTACTCGGCAAGTGTTGGTGAAGCGGTCGTGGTCCTGCCCTCAGGAACGCTAGGGTGGCCCAGCGGGTGAGATCCCAAAGGTCAGTGCCCGAAGAGGGGCCCTGTGGCGTTCAGAGGACGGAGTGCGTCACCAAGGAAGTGTGTGTATTTATTTTTTTCTTTATTGATTTTTAGAGAGAGAGGGAGAGATGATAGAAACGTCGATGAGAGAGAACATCGATAGGCCGCCTCCTGCACGCCCCTCACTGGGGATCTGGCCCACAACCTGGGCGTGTGCCCTGACCAGGAATCGAACCAGCGCACCTCTGTGTGCATGAGTCGATGCTCAACCACTGAGCCACCTGGCCGGGGCAAGGAAGTGTATTTAAGCTGACCCTCGAAGGGCCGTGGCATCTTTCCTCGAGGGAAAGACGTTACAGGGAGAGAAAATAGTTCGGTTTGGTTGGAACAAAGAGGAGTCAGGTCTTGACAAACAAGAAGGAAGCGCCAAAGGTTTCTGGAATAGGGAGTGGCCGTCGTATCTGGTAGTGTAAGGAAGGAGCCAAGTAACAGGGTGGGGAGAATGACTTTTGAAAAGGGTATGAATGGCCCAGGCCTGTGTTAAGTGGTTAGAGCGTCGGCCCACGCATCATAGGGTCGCGGGTTCGATTCCCAGTCAAGGTTAGGTACCTGGGTTGCAGGTTTGATCCCTGCCCAGATCTGGGCACTGCGGGAGGCAACTGATCAAGATGTGTGTGTGTGTGTGTGTGTGTGTGTGTGTACGTCTCTCTCTCCCTCTTCCTCCTTTCCACTCTAAGAATCCGTGGAAACATATCCTTGGATGTAACAACAAAAATAAAGGATATGAATGGGTAATTCACAGGGGAAACCTGAAAAGCTAACATGTATGAAGTGTTTCCCAACTTGACTGGTAATTAGAGAAATGTGTGCGTTTAAAAATACGTTTCCTGCTCCGGAAATGTCCCCCTCACAACCTGTTGGTAAAACAGTGCTGCATGAACTGCTTACCCTGGTAAGGCAGAACAACGGGCCTCGAAAGAGCCATGGCATTGTCTCAGGGAAGAAAGGCAAGAGCAGAATATTTGATAATTGCAAGGTTGGTTTAAGGTGGATCTTCCAATCTGGGGAAGTGATTAGGATTGGATTGGTATGGTGAAATAATAGTCCAGGATTGGTAGAAACAGCTGAGGCAGGGTTTCAGAGAATCTTAGGTTACAAATCATTGATGCTCCCTTTTGAAGAGTTGATCCATCTTTGGGGCAGTTCAGGCCATTAGAACAGTGAAAATATATTGGTCGCCTAGAAAAGTCAGGTCATGCTAATGAGACAGTAAGTTGTTTGTTGGGGTGGGGGAGTGCCGGTAGTTTCAGTCCTCAGTATATGTGTGTGGGGCTAGATGGTTTTGGTTTTCAAAAACAACAACACTAGCCCTGGCCGGTTTGGCTCAGCGGTTAGAGCTTCGACCTGCGGTCCTGAGAGACCCGGGTTTGGTTCCCGCTAAGGGCACGTACCTCGGTTGCAGTTTGTCCCCGGCCCTGGTTGGGTCGTGCGGGTGGCAACTACTCGATGTGTTCCCTTCACATCGATGTTTCTCTCTCTCTCTTCCTTGCTCTTCCTCCCACTCTTATCTGAACAAAAAATGGAAAATATGTCCTTGGGTGAGGATAAGAAAACAAAAAGAAAAACAACACTAAATCTTATATCTACCAGATTGGCAAAAATTAGAATTTTGACTGAGTGTTGGTGAAGATATGAGAAATTCTCATGTACTGCAAGTAGGATTGTAAACCAGTGTAGGACCGGCCACCCCCGCCCCCGCCCCCTGTACTCTGGAGAACATTTGGGCAGTATTTAGTGAAATTATGAGTAAATTATATTGCTAGCAGTTACTTGCTGTGTAAATACCCTGCACATACCTAAGGAGACATCACAGGAAGGTGTTTATTGCAACATCATTTCTGGTAGTAAAGTACTGAAAGCAAAGTAGGTGTTTGTCACAAGGAGAATGGACAATAAGTATATTCATATGATAAAATTGTTGGAATACTTCAGTCAGAACCAATGAAGTAAACTGAAATACAATAACAAAGTGATTGCAAATATAAAAATGTAAAGATCCATATACAAAACTACATTTTTAAAGAATATATATCTAAAACTTATTAAAGTTTAATTAAAATGAAAGATGAATTGAAAAAGCATATGTTAAAAACAGGGGGTGTTGGGTGGTAGAGGGATTGAGCAAAAAAGAAAAGAGAACTCATGGACATGGACAACAATGTGGTGATTGCAGGTGGAGGGGTGGATGGGTGGAGGTGGAAGAGGGCAATGGTGATGGAAAACAAAACAGACATTAGAGTAGGTTCCTATGGGAGATGAGAGGTGGAAGAATAAACTAAGAGAAGACCTAGCATGAACTGAAAATAGAGTGCAATGAAATAGGAAGTATTATCATCTCAGTTGTGCACATGTGAGGTCCTTAAGAACAAAATGGGGTTAGTAAGGGTTGGATGATGAAGGTCCTTGTAAGCCTTGTTGAAAGTGTTTTGAACTTGATCCTGAAGGCATAGGGCAGTGTTGAGGAAATAAAAATCCTGCCAACCCAGAGACTCCTCTCTACAAGAGAGAAAAGAAAGTTTGATTACTGAATAGTCATATTCATATTAAAACACATTGTAGCCCTGGCCGGTTTGGCTCAGCGGTTAGAGCGTCGGCCTGCGGTCCGGAGAGACCCGGGTTCGGTTCCCGCTAAGGGCACGTACCTTGGTTGCGGTTTGTCCCCGGCCCTGGTTGGGTCGTTTGGGTGGCAACCACTCGATGTGTCGCTTTCACATCGATGTTTCTCTCTCTCTCTCTCCCTCCCACTCTATCTGAACAAAATATCGAAAAAAAAAAAAAGTCCTCGGGTGAGGATAAAAAAAATAAAACACATTGTAGATACTCCTAGTGAAGTTACAAAAACAAAGAAATTTTTCTGTATGTAGCCATAAAGTTCATCCTAAATTCACCTGGTAATTGAGGTATCCATTAATTTTGCTAATCGCCTTCATCTGAAGGAATAATAAAACTTCTCTTATTTCTATGACAAGTATATGATTATCGCTCGGAAAAAAGGTGCCTAGGTTAAACTCCCACAGTGACAAGGAGATAGGAGGGCTATTTTCCTAGATGTTTACATTGTGAAGTAATGACTTCTAGACCCTTGAAAAAATATGTTGGGGTTGTGAAGCTGACAAGAAGCTTGCTCAGCTTCTAACTGGGTTTTTTTTCACCCACGGGCTAGATTGGAAGGACAAGGGGTTGAGCAAGTGAATAGTTAAAATGATGGATGGTGGAGCCTACAATGGATAGGGAAAGAAGTGAAGTGGGACAGACTGAGTGCAAAGAAGAGAGGATTAGAGGGCTGAAAATCTTGATGAATAAAGTATAGTGTATGTGAATGAGAATTGGAAGAATAGCATAGGAGGTTGTGGCCAAAAAATAGGGCAGTTGGGGAGAGAAGTTACAGATATCAAGGGAAGCCATTGAATCTCATGAAACCGAGTCTCTAGGGTGCTGGTTAGGTTATTTGTCGATTTTGAATGTTGTCTAGAATGATAACAGACTTCAGAAGACCGCGCCACAGGCCAGAGTCCTCTAAATAATAGTAAGGGAAATGAGGGGGAAAGAGATGATATAGGCTGATGGAAACAGTCTAGAGAGGCAAGGGTTTGTGTCTTGTTATAGATGAGTGAGGCTGGAATTGGTATTGGGTATCAAGGAACACAAACTTGTCTTTTTATAATGTGATTTGTTACTTTCTTCAGATTTTTTTAATCCAAATGATATTTATTTTTACATTTGCAGATTTTTCGCAATCAAAATTAGCAAAATAAGCCAAGATGTCTGTCGATCCAATGACCTATGAGGCCCAGTTCTTTGGCTTCACACCACAAACTTGCATGCTCAGGATCTACATTGCATTTCAAGACTACCTATTTGAAGTGATGCAGGCTGTTGAACAGGTTATTCTGAAGAAGCTGGATGGCATCCCAAACTGTGAGATTAGCCCAGTCCAGATTCGTAAATGCACAGAGAAGTTTCTTTGCTTCATGAAAGGGCGTTTTGATAATCTTTTTGTCAAAATGGAGCAGCTGTTTCTACAGTGGATTTTGCATATTCCCTCAAACATCCTGCTTCCAGAAGATAAATCTCAGGAGATGCATTCTTATAGCGAGGAAGAATTCAAGCTTCTCCAAAAAGAAATTGAACAGTTACAGGAGAAGTATAAGACTGAATTATGCACTAAGCAGGCCCTTCTTGCAGAATTAGAAGAGCAAAAAATTGTTCAGGCCAAACTTAAACAGACATTGACCTTGTTTGATGAGCTTGAAAATGTTTGCAGAAATCATGGGACTGGTGATTTTAGGGACAGCTTGGTGTTCCTGACCCAGAACTCCAGAAAACTGCAGAATATTAGAGACAATGTGGAAAAAGAAAGCAAAAGACTGAAAATATCTTAATTTCTAAATAGTAAAAGGAACCTGTCAAAAGTAGAATCAGTAAGGGATTTATATCAATGATTATTCTTATTTTAGTGAATTGTATATTTTGTTGGATTTTCTTTGTTTACTCTTTCTTGTATTCCACATTTTCCTGTTTTTTGGTCCATTCTCCTGAAGTATTTATGTACTGCTCTGAACTAATCTTTGAAACATCTATTCCTTACACTACTCTAATAGGTGGGAAGGGATTCTTGATCTATTAAAGATCATTTGGAGACATGATAAACAAATAAAGCTTTCCGTGGCCAGTCAAAGATTTTTTTATTTTTTTTATTTTGGTACATGCCCCTAGCGGGAACCGAACCCGGGACTCTCTGGTTCACAGGCCGACACTCCAACCGCTGAGCCAAACCGGCCAGGGCTCTTTTTAAATCAGCCACTACACTGGGACAGCCCATATAGAATGCTTACTCTTGCCCATAATTTTTCTTACCTGCGGAAGTTGATAACTACTTGAAAGAAGCAAGTAGCAGGAAAAAACAACCATGATTGTTAATAAGAAGAAAGAAGTTGTTTTTATTTCTAAAATAAATGCTCTCTGTGACCAAGGCCTTGATGGTGTTTAATAATTTACTGACTTGGAGCCCAGCAGTGGAAGACTTTGGACAAAAAAGTAGATCTCACTGGAATAGAAAAGGAAGCCTGGCCCTGACTGGTGTGACTCAGTGGATAGAGCATCAGCCCGTGCACTGAAGGGTCTCGGGCTCAATTCCTTGTCAAGGCCTGTCCCTGGGTTGCAGGTTTATCCCCACCCAGGTCAGGGCATGTGTTTTATCACATTGATGTGTTTCTATCACATCAATGTTTCTCTCTCTCTCCCCTCCTTTCCACTCTAAAAAAATCAATGGAAAAAATATCCTTGGGTGAGGATTAACAAAAAAGAAAAAGGGAAGCCTGGAACATTCTCAATAGCAAAATTTATATTAACTGACTCTTAGGTATTTATGCCATTTTTTATTTTTATTTTTTATTTTTTATTTTTTTTTTATCCTCACCCAAGGACATTTTTCCATTTTTTGTTCAGGTAGAGTGGGAGGGAGAGAGAGGAATAGAGAGAGAGAAACATCAATGTGAAAGGAACACATTGAGTGGCTGCCACCTGCACAACCGACCAGGGCCGGGGACAAACTGCAACCGAGGTACGTGCCCTTAGCGGGAACCGAACCCGGGTCTCTCAGGACCACAGGCTGACGCTCTAACCGCTGAACCAAACCGGCCAGGGCTATGCCATTTTTTAAATACTTTCAGATAGTTTTGGAATTTTCCTTGTGCCTAATATTTCATAGAATAGTACCCTCACTGGGACATTTTAGCTGTGTCTTTTGCTTAAATTCAGTGGAATCTGATATTTCCTTTTGTAATTAATCCATGTAACATGTTAGGTCTCCCAAGGAAAGGGAAGATTTGGCAATAGTCACTCTCAAGGTATTGCTTGCCCTCCGTGTCTTCCAAAATAACAGGATTTGGAGTTTCTCCTTTATGTAGAAGAGTGACTTAGGGTATTAATATTCACAATTAAATATTCAGAGATTTAGGAAGTTTGTGTTCACCTGGAATATGCTGATTATCAGAGTTCTTTTTCCAATCCTGTACATGAAATATATGTTTTTAAAGGCTTTGGTTTTCCATTTTCTGTTCTTTAAAGCCATGATGTTTCCTTCTTCAATATTATTATCCAAATGAAAATTCCGTGCCCTCCCCCCAACATTTGTAGCTATTTAAAATCTCCTAGTATAGTGGGTTGAATGGTGATTCCCCACGTGGTTTGTTCATGTATGTTTGATTCCTGGAATCTGTTACTGCCTTATTTGGGAAAATGATCTTTGCAGGTATAATTAAGTTAAGGATTTGGAAATGAGATCATCCTGAATTATCTGGGAGATGAGGTGGCTAAATCCAGTGATAATGTGTTATAAGAGAAAGGTAGGGATTTGAAGCAGAGGTGGAGGCATTGTGACCACAGGCAGATTGGAGTGATGCAACCACAAGTACAGGAACGTCAATAGTCACCATAAGCTGGAAGAGGCAAAGGGCAGATTCTCTTCGAGGGCCTCCAGAGGGAGTGTGGCCCTGCCGACACCCTGTAGGTTTCTGGCCTCCAGAACTGAGAACAGTTTCTGTTGTTTTAAGGCACTAAGTTTGTTATGGTAGCAACTGAAAACTAATGTACTTCGTGAAATGAGAACATTTAAGGTATTCCTAAGGATGTAAGCAGTTAAGGAAACAACTGCTGAGACCTGATTGGCCCCATTGTATATGCAGTAATATGGTTTGTCTGAATACACTTAAAATACGAACTTGACCTGGATGAAATCCACAGTGATTAGAACTCAGGAGTTCATTTCATGGTAAGTGCTTAATAATTTTTGGATATTAATACTGTTACCGTTTGTCGCAGTATTGTCTCTACAGGAACGAATTGATCTTCTTGGCCCATTGTCCTCTAATAATTAAATTCCTCCCTCAAAAGTTCCAAAATAAATCAGGATAATAAACAATTGGTTACCCACTCTGCTTCATCGCCCCATCTCCCATCCAGCATCAGCCTCACCCAATTTCCTGCTTCCCCTACATTAGATCCTATGATTTTAATATCAAACCTTCAGCTTCCCTAGGGGCCTGTTCCCCACTATATACCCCCAAATAGATTTTTCTCATCCTGCTGCTGCAGGGACAGGGAGGCAGTTTGGCAGGGTATTAATGGAAAGGAAAGAGTGGCCATTACTACCAATCTTACAGAAATAAAATGAATTATAAGGAAATACTATGCAAGCAGTTCTGCATTCAGTTCTAATGAGGGTTTTCCCCATACCACCAAACAATTTTGGGGGACCACCTGGGTATTCTGCAATTCAGTTCAGCCTGACACTATCCAGACAGAGCATCGGATTCCACAGATTAAGGGCTCAGCCCCACAAAGACTACCCTTCAAATGCCAGTCACAAGCCCAGATTGTTACCTGTGCTTCTGACTGACTGGCAATAAATCACAGGTTCCAGTGACTCCTTCCTTGGATTTAATTAACTTGCTAGAGAACTCAAGAAAACTGTTTATTCACTAGGTTACCAGTTTATTACAAAGGATATATGAAGATGGCCAGATGAAGAGATACACAGGGTGAGGTCTCAAACAAAGGAGCTTTTATGCCCATGGAGTCTGGGTGTGGCATGGTGGAGGGGTTCCGGTTACTCCACCGGGAAGCTTTCCAAACTCCTTTTGGGTTTTTATGGAGGCTTCATTACATAAGTCATTGGCCATTGGTGATTGAAGTTGGACCTCTATTCCATACCATGTGTAAAAATAAAATGGGTCAAAGACCTAAATATAAGCTAAAACTATATAACTCCAAGAAAAAGACCCAGGCAAAGATCCTTGTGATCTCAAATTGGGCAATAATTTATTTGAGATGGCACCAAAAACAAGCAGCAAGAGAGGGGAAAATACACACACACACACACATAAATGGGACATCATCAAAATGAAAAACTTTTGCCCTGGCCGGTTTGGCTCAGGGTCTTGCAGACCAAAGAGTCTCGGGTTCAATTATGGTCAAGGGCACGTACCTCAGTTGTGGTTTAATCCCTGCAATCAATCGGTGTGTCTCTCACATAGATCTCTCTTCTCTTTCTCCCTCCTTCCCTCCCTCCCACTCTATCTGAAAATGAATGGAAAAGATCCTCGGGTGAGGATTAAAAAAAAAAAGGAACTAGAATCACATTTTTTTTTTATCCTCACCCGAGGACATCCTCCCATTTTTTGTTCAGATGGAATGGGAGAGAGAGAGAGAAACATTGATGTGAAAGGGACACATCGAGTGGCTGCCACCCACACGGGCCGGGGACAAACTGCAACCAAGGTACGTGCCCCCAGTGGGAACTGAACCCAGGTCTCTCTGGACCGCAGGTGGACGCTCTAACCGCTGAGCCAAACTGGCCAGGGCTAGAATCACATTTTTTAAAATAGCTACTTACTATATAAAAAAAAAAGGAGAGAGGTTTTCTTACAGGCCCTGAGAAACTGAAGAACATGTTACAAGGAGAACAGGCCCTAGAGGTGAAGGGAGGCAGTGTTCTTGGGCGAATCTTTGCAAGGATAATGAAAAAAGGCAGTCCCTGCGAATTCACTAACTTCAAATGTTTTTCCCGCCCACTAACCCTATAAAAGAGTCTGTTTGAGATAAAATGTCAGAGAGCAGAATTTTCAGGATGATCTGCTTTCTCCATACTGCCAGCATTGGAATAAACGCTCAAATACATTCAACCTTGCCTCTGCTTAATTTGGCTCAAGTAGTGACAGGCAGCATCGGACCCTTAGTGTGCAGTTTCAGTCCCATCAGGGGTACCATCATTACACAAATGTCCAAGTAAAGTATATGGAATATTAAAGTGCTGCGTTTTGACATTTAACATTCATGAGTAGACGGAGATATCAGGTGGGTGAATAACCTGCCAAGGTGGGTTCTGGTATTGGGCCTTTTGGGTCTGAGATGACAACCACCTAGGGGTGGGGTAGTTTTTCAGCACCAATTCTCACAGCTCCAGAAGGGCTCCGGACCAGCAATCCTTTGCCAAAGACACAAAAGCAGCCCTCCCTGCTGTACACCTCAGCCAAGGTCCCAGAGTCTAATCCTGTGCAACGTGGGACCTATGGGCCTACATCTACGTCCCAGGCAGGGCTGGCCCTAGCCTGGAAGACCTCAAGGCACCCCCTCTCCCCGCCCCCACTGCCTTGCAAACTGCGCCAGAACAGAAAGGGACACAGAGATTCCTACTGCTGAGAGGGAGAGGCCAAGGGGCTCTACATTCCAGGCTCCTGGATCCCTATACCCTAGGCCCACCTATCAAAGCGGCCACGGTGGGTGAGGTCGCCCGCAGGGCCCCGAAGCAACCCTTCCACAAGAGAGAGTGTCTGGAGGACTGCGGCCCCAACACACCTGGGATGTTGCACGGACCTTTCCCCAAATCACAAAACATGTGAGTGCACAAAATTCAGCAACAGCCCCCAAATAAAGTTAGAGAAAATGTCGCGGTGCAGACTGCACCTTAGTCTGGTGATGGCAGTTGTCAGTCACTGATTCTTCTTTTCTCCTGGGAGAACAGACAACAAAGAACAGACAGGTACAGAGCCCGCTTACCTAGACGCGGAAGAGACTTCCCTGAGGCCACGAGATGACAAAAGAGTGAGTACCCGCCAGCACAAACCACAGAGGTGGAGTGTGTCACCTGTTCTCATTTCCACCCACCACGGTTCGGGCTCTCTGGACCTGCCCCGAGGCCTCAACAAGCTGAATGTGTGAGTTCGAGAATGAATCAAATGGAAATGGAGAGGGCCTGGGACACATGGCTCCTGCGTCCTCTTATCCTGGTGAGAGGCCTAACCAGACGCATCCAGAACAGCTTCCTCGCTGCTACCCGGGATGCCTGCCGGGGACTTCTGCGTACTAGTCCGGGCAAATTCAGGGCATCAGCGCTTCGTCCACGAGTGGAGAGGCACTGAGTGGGCCCCCAACTTGTGCCTGAGTGCTGGGGCCAGCGGCACGCAGTGGGTACCACGAGCAAGGCCCTCGGGTCGCCTGGGGTAGGGAGAGGGACCCAGGGCAAGGGGCTCGATCATGGCTTGGCCCCTGACCTAGAGCTCTGGCTCCCCCACCATCATTCTCCTGCTTTCCTCGTCCCCGCC